ACCTTTTATTTAAAATAGTTATGGAAGTGAGAGAGGTAGAATTTCTTATATTGTAACGCAATGTACTTATTTCTTTACGAACCAATTATTTTCAGTAACATTTTAGCGTTAGAAAGACGTTTCCGTGTACTTGAGAGTTTTTTTTATCTCACACTTCTGTAATAATTAGAATTTTAATTTTAACTTCTTTAATGTCAACTTCTTTCGTTCCACTTAAGTCGAAAATGAATGAAAAATCCGATGATGCATCTGTGGCAGACAAATGCGCTGCATTATCAATGTCACTATTATATCGGCGCATTGATGCATTAGAACTGCATTCAAATGTTACAATAACATGGCATCCTGCTTTTCCACCGCTTCGCGTCTCTAGAACACATTAACCGGGCATGTCAAATATATGCCTACGCATCAGTGAACGTGAACAACTGTGAATAACGCAACGTATTGTTGAATAATCATCATCGGATGAACATAGCGCAAATTGCATAAATCAACTAAACCGCAAAGAGACCATTTAAACTAAACAACAAGGAATAAACTTCAAACAAAAGGGAGAGAAAAGATTTTAAAAGCTCTGTAATTCAAATAAATTCTCCAAACGTACTTATCGCGACATCATAATGCCAAGCATGCGCCGTTCAATCTGAATAACATGGAAGTAAGCACTGTTTGGAGGAACCGTTGCATTAACCCAATTTTACCATAAGTGCTATTTTTAAAGCTTTGTCATTCTCATTGATCGATACATCACTCGTACTATTCGCTCGCATTCCTTTTCACGAACTGTTTTTCTCTCGAGAATCTCATTTAAGAACTTTTACTTTAACTTTCCGGGCGTTGTTTAATATTTCTTAAAAATATCGCGATAAATTTCAAGTATCAGCGCGATGATTTTGTTCCTCCGAGCAGAAAACTCCGAGTCATGGCGGAAACAGTAGTTGCAAGGAGCGCGAGTTGAAATAACGCATCAATCTTTCTCAAAACTGCACAGAAAACTTTGAGTTCGTTTTGTCAAGGTATCACCAGGTGGTTAAACTAAAAGTCAATTTTGCGGGGCAAGTTTCTTTATTCAGCGTCGTCAAGGTAGAACAAGGTAAATTATAGGGGCGGTTACATTTTATCGCGGCCATCTAAAAATGTTATTACGCGTTGGATTACACGATTTAATGATAATATTCAGGCTTTGCCGCGGCTCGCTGATTTTCCACGGTAACCATCGGTTCTCATGGGCTTTCCGAGCCTCGACAGTTTTCATAATTTCAAATAATAGGAAAGTTCGACAACGCTGAAGGGAAACTTCTCACAATTCAATTTGCTCCTATTGATTCTCGAGTCTTGGACGTTTGCGCGGAAACGTCGTTCAAACTCGAGAGAAGGACTACGTTTCAATCGTCGATCAGAATATTTGTTTATTCGAACGTTTCATCAGGATTCCGTGATAGTTTCGAACAATCTTATCTTCCATTCTTTCGCGGAGAACCACGCTAATCTTTCAATTTATCACTTGCAAACTAAGATAACGTTTTTTTTTTTTTTTTAAGCTCCATAGTAAATTTTCATATCGAAGGACTTATATTAAAAGACACCCTCATTGAATTTCGATATTTAATAAATTTTACTCTTGTGTAAAATATATTCTATTACAATAAGAAAATTATGACAAATATTTATAATCACCTATTCTTTTAATAATATTTCTTTTGTTTATTAAACAATTCGCGCTGTTTTCCGAACTTGTGTCTCGATGATATATGGATAAATATAATATGTGCATAGATATGATTGTAGAGACAATTATTCACAATTATTTTATTGATTCAGAGTTTTGGAGAGTAAAGTTGTGCGTATAAAAACACTTTGGTCGCCTATACTTATGCGTGATAAAAGTGGGAAAATGAGGCATGTTCTAATTAATCAGGGAGGGACGCGAGAACGCGATTACGGTGGCAATAATTAGGAATTAATGCCAGCTGCTTCCGATCGATATCAAGAGCCTGCCGACGCAGGAGAAGCGGTGCACATTTGCATTTAAAGCAGCCTGCTCTCCTAGACATTGATATATCCCTGTCTATATCGTGGCTGAAATCGACTTTATTTATAGCCGCGAGACGCATAGACGGTTTCGCACGCGCCTCCGGAGGGAGAGGATGAAGTACGAGAGATCCTTTCTAATTTAAACTCGGAAACCTTATTTCGATGCAAAACCGCGGCCATCACTGCGACTTGTAAAAGCTGGTTACTGCACGTACCATACCGTGCGACTGTCGAAAGTATACTCGTTCCCGCGGGTAACGGCGAGCTTAACGATTCGGGTATACAACCGAGAGCGAAGCCATTCGACTTAATAGCGCTGAGAATTATGATCCTTTCGTTAGGCATTGAAATCCTGATGCTCTATCTAACCGGCACTATCCTGTTCGAATTCTCCTTAGCTTGTATCACAAATAGGAGAGAGTCTAATATTCGGCGAATTTTTCTTTAGCAACAAATGATAATTTCTATAACCGACGAATTCTCTTTTTTTTTTTCAGACAAAAGTCTGAGGTTTCAAAATTCCAATGGTTAACAGTTTTTAACAATTTTTGAAATTTCAATAATATTGGATAACTTTAGTACACGTGCTCACACACGTGCTATAATTATTATTCGGGACATCGGGAATTACGGCGTATTGACATATCTATCTGAATCGAGCTTCTTTGCGAGCGCGTCTGACCCGAGCTGCTCCTTCGCTACTTAAGCGACGCTATATCGCGGCCGACTGCAAACGTCCATTTACTACTTACCGTGGGCGTACCGCGCATCCGACCATGCATCGTGCCCTCCCCACTATTTAATCACGACAAATCCATTAGGAAGTACCGTGATTGTCCATTGACTAGTTATCGGCCGCAATGACGGATTCGCATGGTAGATCGCTCATCGTGCACGGGCACTTATTAGCGGCGTTCCCGGGTTAATGCGATTATCTGTTGATCTGCGGTTAACTGCTGAATGCTGATTGAAAGACTATGCCTCGCTCGTATTACCGGCAAGCCACATACGCTCGCGAATCGCCAAGGGGATTATTATCCGTGCGCGATATGATGGATTCTGTGATGTAAACTGTCTGAGAAAGTGCTGTTAGCGTGCTTATTGCAATAGTTTGATGGATAACGCGAGATTCAATTTTACTTATTAAATAAGGTACGCAGTGCTGCTTCCTGTAATTACTTACTACTTAACTTTATTGAGTGCTATCTGCACGATGTAAAATACGTTAAGACAATTCGAGTAGGATAATTATTTTTTGTATATTGTTAAGGGAGATTCAATTTTCAATTGATGAAATAATTCAAAAGCCAAATGATCCAAAAATAATAATAAAAATCTCAGATGCTTAAAGTATACATTGCAAAATTTAAATGTCTTATTAATGAAATTTATAATCACATACGCTCCGAAATTTGTTTATCGATGATGATAAAAGAAGCAGCTTTGCGTGTTTTCCGATCTTTCAGCTTTCGCACACGTGACACGCGAGAGCTGTAATATCTGAGTTGAATTTCTTTCATGCTATCACGAAGAAAGTTCGTTTTAAACGTTACTCTGGGGAGACATTCCTGGTAGAAACGCACAGTCGCCTGAGGCGAAGAAATAAAAATTATCATCATCATATGTGGATACCGCCATGAAATGACCTGTCACACGAACACTTCGTCTTTGCATTATTATTTCTTTTACTACGCTGGGGTCGCTTTTATAGTCGACCTCTCTGTAATACTTTGTTTCCTTTATACGACGCGATTTCCATATTGCAATCGTTTTTGCAGAGATGTATGCTGTTTTCTCGGTTTATCGACATTTCGCTGAAACAATAGTTTTGAGATTATTTCAACAATATAAAATTAGTTTCTCCAAAAGATATTTTTTTCACCTATAGAAGTGGAGCATTAATGTTTATATTTGTTATATATTTAAAAATGATAATGTGAAATTTATGTAGAGATAAAATTATGAAAATACGACACTTTACATAAATAATTCTATAAACACAAAAAGGAATATTAACATAATTATATTTATTTATCTCATTGAAACTATATAATTATTATCTGATTACTTTATATACAATTTTAATATTTGATACTAATTTTCTACACAATTTTTAATGCACTTTGCAAATATCTTTGCGTTGTTTTTATAATAAGAAAAAAATTAAGAAGAAACAGATTCGGATGTCGGGCGCAAATCTTTTTATATCTTTATATTAGATAACATCATTCTTACTATTGTCACTGCTATCATAATTATTGTTTGTGAACTTAATACTGCAATAACTTTCTGATGAAAATATGTCATCCTGTAAAAACAAGAAACATATTACACTGCAATCGTCGCGCGCGTGGACAGCATTTAAATGCTCGGTCCGAGTTCACGTCTCTTTCGCGCTTTTCTCATAGAAACTTAGTTCATAAAGTGCAACGCGATTAACTGGTGCTATCAACGTGACCAGAACGTTTCTGTCTCAAAGGCGACGCGGGAAAACGCGAGGAACAACGGCGACGTCCCGGCTATAATGCGAGCTCAACGTATTTCCCCGACGCCCAACTTCCGCCAGAACGGACGACCGATGTCCGGAGGTGGGCGCATTTCTCTACAACTTGGTAATTGGCTTAGGACAGGACCTTCAACTCGCGAATTTCTCTCGTGGAACCGTCGTGGTAACACGTGTACCATACTCGGCCGGAAATAATTGTAGTCCTGAAACATTTGCAGGGAAAGATCGTACGAATTACAAGAAATGGAAATTCGACGAATTCTCCAACATTCCTAATATTTATGAATTAAGCTTCTAACAAAACTGTGCTGACGATAGCTTTGTCAGTTCTATTTCTCTAAAAAGAAGCACTATTTAGCGTTAAGAATCAAGCGTTTTTTTTTTTTGTATCCTTTTTTTACGCTGAAATTAACTCGTTACTCGTTCACGATAATTAATTAAGGAAGAAAGGGATTGTTTAATCCTCCATCGAAGACGGGGTCACGATGTTTCTCCGCTCTTCAGAAATCGGCTGAAAATATATTTTCGCCTGGAGATTCTTCGTGCAGAACTTTTGCAGGAGTTTCGAGTCGTAAAAGCTCTCGATGTCGGTGATGTTGTGATGAACCGCGGCCTCGGTTTTTGTCAGCAGTAAGGAATTCCAAGGCGCCCATTCGTGCTCGCGTCGGAAGCGAGTCAGCCGCAGCCCGTCGAGGTCGTCGCACTCGGAGATGCCAGATCTGCCGTGCCAGACTTCGTTTACCAAACGGCAGACGACCTTGGCCCCGACCACGAAGGCTAAACTGCCGTAACAACCCATTTTGGCTTCAAAGCGTCTAATTTCCCGCAGCATTCTCTCGTAAGGTTCATATACCGCACAAGGACCTCTTCGAGTTCGCATAGACATGCAGTAGACGCAGGAAGAGGACCGCAGACGCCGTTCACGGGGAAATTTCTCCAAAGGCAGGAACCTGCCGCAGGTTCTGCAGAGTCGCGTGATGCTGGCGTCCGACCAGTCGAATCGATGCACGTTCTCTTCGAGATCGCCTGAAAAGAAACGATTAATTGATGTTTAAGGACTATGAAAGTTTTTCTTCCAAAATTGCTCAATAATTTTAATTACCGACATTCTTCTTTTGTCATTTATAGCGCTAAAATATCAGCTAATTAGTTTATGCGGTTTTTTTTTGTTAAATTTATTATCAAAACAATCGCGTGAACTTTGTTATCTGATACAGAAGAACAGATTTAAAAGTTTAAAGTCTCTCGTTTTACAAACTTTATGACATGCAATAACGCTTCTCTGATATTAAAATTGAAAGTTGCGTAACAAGCGATGAATAAGCATTTGATTTTTTATACTTTTTTAGGTAAACTCTTAAATTATTTACTATTTTGGTGAACTAATAAACAAAAGGGAGTTAAAGACCTTGTAGAGCGTTGCGCGCCAGCTTAAGGAAGCTTAGCTTCAGTCGATTCCTAAGCCAGTTGAGTCTGCTCGTGTCCACGCGGCACATCAAGAGATCCAGCTCTTGATCGACCAGATAAACGAGCTCGTGCGACTGGCTGCACGTGTGCATACTGGCGATACGTTTCAAGCCGCGCAGTAAATCGACCCGTTCTAAAACGGACAGATTTTCGTTAGCCAGCGAAGCGTAGACATCTCTGTGCTGGCGAGCCCGTTGCACGCGCAGAGTGTCGACGAGGATCGGCCGGCCCTGACTGTCCTGCCAGACGACCGGTCTGGATAATTCGTCCAGTAGTCGGCATCGCTTTCTTTCGCGACATTTGAGCCGCAGGACGGTCCTCATGGAGTCTATGGAGCGCAGCAATTCGACCTCCTTCGACAGAATCAAACCGCAGGCGGCGACCCTCGAGGGCCCGAGGAGTGTGCGACTCGCTCGCTCGGTCTCGAGGATTCGCCAGCGGTCGAGGAGATTGTAGAGCGACTCGAAGTCCGAGCTCGTACGTGGCGGACAGCGATTCAGTATCACGAAATCCGTGCGGCTGTAGGTGGACAGCAGCGCCTGAGAATGTCCGGCGTGCTCGATCACGTCCACCTCATCATGTTGGGAAACGTTAGCCACTTGAAGTGCGTTTGCTCTGGCCGCTGCTCTGGCTCGATAAGCCCTGTCGATGGATTCAAGCCGGTTTATTGGTTTGAATTGATTGATCGCGGCGATATACGTGGCGTTATTCATCTTATCGAAGTATATTTTCACAAGAGAGTTGATCACTCGCGCAAATAAATTAACAAGATAAGCATTTTCTCCCTTATTTAATCTCACGTCATTTTTAGTTTAACGAAAATTTAATTCAAACAATAGTTGCGCGACAATTCTTTCCAGTGTGAAATTGCACACTTACTTGCAACATCTCATTTATCGCGAAGTCCGCGCTAACATTTCTGTATTTTAACGATGCTATCGAGAATTCGCATTACCTGTAACATTTCTGTATTTTAACGATGCTATCGAGAATCTTGCTGTTATCTAGACAAGATAACGACTCGACTTCTTCAGCCGGCGTCTCGAAGGGGGAAGAAACTCCGGGCGCGATAATTTTGTCGCGCGGATCCGGCAAAAACTGCACTTGCACCGCCTGGTCGTGAGCGACATCGGTGGCCGCGTCCACCACCGCAACGGTTTGCGTGATCCTGCTTCTCGTCATCCTGCCGCTGGGTGTCTGCGTGCAAGCATTATGATAGATCAAGCCGGTAACGGTGTTCTTCCATCCGCCGAGAAACGGCTTTGTCTTTGGATCATGCCCCAGTATCCCCGCAACGACCGCCATGGTGGATCGTCGACTGTCCCATGGGATCTAACTGTCTGCGCTTACAAGGAAAAGGTTTCAGTGAGGCACGGAAGGACAATATCTGCGTTTAACAAAAAATAAATTGCGCGTCGCAAAAAATTCCGAGTGAAAAAGGATCGAGCGCGTAAGACGTCTTGAAATTTTTTTGACTTATATTTTTCGATTATAAAATATACGAAGCAAAAAATTGTGTAACAATTCGGTAACAATTCTCAGTTTTCGAGTTACAGCGCAGTGTAAATTAATGATGAAATGTATATAGTAATTGGAGATTCCTTGAATAATATCATTTTATAATTATAAACTTAAACACGTGATGCTGTAATTATGTAAATTATATATTTCAAAAGAGTCATATTGACATAAAGAATGTATATTATAATATTCAACATTCATTTTATGATGCTGCAAAAATTTTATACTTTTATCAATTTTTCAAATTAGAACAAAATTTAATTATGAAATTAATTAACTTTTTATTGAATTTTCTCGGAAATTATCTGATAATAATTCAGCGCGAATGCTCTCGAAAATTATTTTTGAAATGTATTTGCAAAAATTAATTTTCAAGATGGCAAATTAATTTATGCATTGAAAGTAAGAATGTACCTTCTTAATACAAGAGAGTTCGCCAAATGTCTTAATAATCCATTTGTGACATTTCACTTTTAAAATCATATAATCCTTATCGTGTTATGTCCACAAGTCGACAATATCGTTGCGGAAAAAAATATGTATCACAGAAAAAGAACTTTCGAAAAACAAAAACAAATTTTTTTCTCGCGATAAATAAAATACTCTGAATATTCATATTTGCCATATATTAAATGATAGAGAGCGCCAAATATTTTTCTAATAGAAAAATTAATTTACGTTTCGACTTGTTTGTACCAAATTCTTTCCGCATTGACCGAACCAATTGTATTGTCCGCGAAAGAATGTGTGCGACGTGAAAACTGCGTCAGCTATTTTACAATGCTCTATTTTCTTCTTCCAGGTTGGATGTAACTGTTCGCGATCCTTTATCTTCGGCATTGCCATCGTGACATGGCGGTGGCCCATCCCACAGGACTTAAGCGCCTACATCCAAGAAAAAACGCCAGGTTCAGGTCGAGGAAGTGGAAGGATAACTGCCGCGGCGACCTGCCGCTGGGATAACGGTAATACCCGGCAGTAAAGGAAATTACTATTCTCTCGGTTTAAAGGATCTCGACAGCAAGGTAGGTGGAAACTGCGCGCTGGCTAACGCTTTGCACTTTTGCGCGAGCTTTGTGGCGCCGCAAAGAATATATCGGCACGCATTTGCGTTGTGTGCGAGATCGAATAGGATAACCATAACTGATCGCGTGCATGAATTCGAATAAATTTACTTCGACTATGTTAATGCAATTGTGAAAATAATTGCGAAATTGCAATATGAAATTGTTGGAATGTTATAGGAGGGCAATTTTTACTCGAACTTTATGGCCGGACAGAATCAATGTTCGTAAATGAAATGTATATTATTATTGCATATTCAAGCAAGAGTTTTTCATTAAACGGGTTTTAATTAAATTCAACTAAATTTATGCAGCAAGCGTACAGATTACTGCCAATAATTATGAGTGATCGTATGTGTGATTTAAATCGTTTATTATTCAGGTGGATTTTACTGGAAAAATCTAATGTTTCATGTTTTTCAAAAGATTATCTAGATTTGATATCATTTGTATTTCGAATCATTTATATTCATATCATCTGATATCGAACGAAACTCCAACTACTATATAGCACGCATATCGTCCTTGGATCGCATTCCCTAATCTATATTTATGTATTTATACGGCACCATATATACACGGAAGAAATATTATATTTTCGAAATAAATGAGATAAAACGAGATGTATATTTTATATATTATATATATTTTTTATGCTGCTTGACGTCACGTGTTAACTTTCTTTGAACCGATTGGTTTCGCTGATCTATTATTCGAATTATTCGACAAACACATGAATTTATAGATCTCCAGATTCGCAGAGCGTTCACTTTCCAGACATTTGAATTTATAGATCTCTTATTCTCCACAGATGCTTTGCACCGCGATATCTTCTCTGACCTCGAAATTTTTTTCTCTCGTTCAAATGCTCAGCAGATAAATCTCTTTCTTAAAACCTAGAATTTAATCTTTTCAACGCTGAATATTTATTTGGTCTGTGAGGGAAATCCCGTGAATTGTTCATGATTTTTCTCACCGTGAAAAACTATAAATTTACATGCGATATCCATTGCCGTTCTTCATCACTTCCGTTCCTTTCACATCTCTTATCAATGTCTACTGCTCTTTGATTCTCCGGGTGGTTTGACGCGGCGCGAAAAGGAACACCGCGATACGAAGATCTCAGAATGCGCGAACGCGTCTTATTTAGATCCTTTTCCCGCTTTTATCGCGCGATGAAACAAGAAAACACTTTCAGAAACCTCGGCGAGGCTGCCGAGGGTAGTCAAAGAAGGCTCGACCCGAGAGAGGTAACTTTTGTCGAAACAATGCTCCCGGCGGATAGCATGCGCGGCGACATTTTGCGGATAATAATTATGAAAGATGTTAATTCTGCGGAGATGAAAGGGAGCCACGAACGGAGGGAGGATAAAGGCGAACACTTGCGCGAAATAACACCGACATGCCCGCGTAACGGGGACCAGCCGCGGGACTACTTTCCCGACAATGTGCCGCGGCACAACATACTTTTCTATGTATTGTAAATTACACGCGAGATGCCGGAACGGAAGGACGTGGAAAGGCGGAAAAGGTGTTGCTAAGAGACGGCACGCCGTGAGCGCGGCGAAACTTTCCGCGAGATCACGCCGCTCCAGAAACGGAGAAGGTTGCGTTATATTTATGCAAAAGGAAGGATATTGGAAAAGGGGGAGGGAGGGGGGAGAGGATTTTAAGTTGGATATAAATGGGCGCAAAAGTTCGTCGCGACACCTTCCTCTTCTGGTTGCTAGCGAAAGTTACCGAGCGCGCGCCCTCGAAGGACATATTTCGCCGCTAAACTCCGCGACAAATATGAATAAGACGAGCGAGATTAATGATCGCGATAAATGAAGGTGTTGAACCATTTGGTCGGGCGATATAAATTACTTAAGAATTGTCAACTTCCGGATGCTTATTCGCGTAAGTTTTATTAGAGTTTGTACTTTTGCCGGACAAGGCGAAACGTCTTTTCTTTCTTAGAAAAGATACTAATGGAATGAATTGCCGGTGGCTTTAATAATTGTATTATGTACAATTGTTAAAGCCGTTGGTGATCCAATTTGAGGGATAGGATTTAAATTGCGCGCAATTTTCTTGCTGCTAACTTCAGAATTGTTTTTTATTTACAGCTGTCACCTGGACAGCTGGCAAATTAATCATAGAGCACTATACGATTCAACAACGCATAAATATTGTGAAAATTTATTACGGAAATTCGTGTTCAATAGCGATTGCGAAAAGAAAACTTCGGTCACTTTTTGAGCGGAAGAATGTGCCCACTGAATGTGCAATTCGTCGTCTAATTAAAAAATTCGAAGAAACTGGTATTGTTATTAATAAACCAAGGGTTCAGTATCGACGTAGTGGGCGGTCAGATGAAATATTGCTTTGGTGAGTGCAAGTGTAAATGAAGAACCAAGCACTTCGATTCGTCGCCGCGCACAGCAATTGGATCTTTCATAGATGCTGACTAATTTTTTTTTTTGATGAAATCAATGATTTGGATTTGGAGAATCCAACAGGACGGCGCAACGTGTCACACAGCACGCGAAACAATGACTCTATTGTCCACCAAATTTCCTGGTTGTGTTATTTCTCGCAACGGTGACATTAATTGGTCTCCAAGATCTTGCGATTTAACACCATTGGATTATTTTCTTTGGGGTTATTTAAAGGAAAGGGTTTATGTCAACAAACCAGCAACGATTCCAGAGTTGAAAGACAACATTCGACGTGTTATCGCTGAGACAGGAGCTGGATTATGTGAACGCGCAATGGAAAATTTCGAGAAAGGAATGGTGTCATGTTAGCGGAGTCGAGGAGGGCATCTGGCCGATATTGTGTTCCACACATAATTGCCAAGTCTATATTTTCCATTTGTAGTAATAGAATTCTAATTCTAAAATAATTGTGCGTTTTATTTATATTTCAAATCCTATCCCTCAAATTGGATCATCCTGTAGTTTCCAATGGACGATCTTTTGTTCGATGTCTTTTTTGAACAAAGCATAAAAGCCACATTACAGATTACTTTAATGTATTTCGATCCATTTTAGCCATTTTCACTATTTCGTAAAAAAAATTAAGAGCGAAATATTCTATATTTAGGATTTATGGATATTGCGGCTTATATTAATGTTACTTTGATTTATTTTGATTACTTATTGTAAAAACATCAGGAGTGAAATATTTTATACTGATTTTATAAAAATTTAATTCAAATATTAATAAATCTGTCAAAAGTTATGAAACAAACATTATTGACGGTAATTCTGAGATTTTTATTCGTAAAATGCCTGGCTACACAAATATTTTAAGGGTGGCGAGAAAAAAGGTCTGGTGAGGGATTCTGATGGAAAGCTGAATTTTATGAAGTACGGCAGTGTGCCCACATTGGTATAATCGATGGAACGGGAAATGGTTTCGTATTATGAAGGTTAATGCTTCTTTAACAATCTGACCAGCCATTTCTTTTTCTTTTTACACCGCAGCTGTTTAAAAGTAAAAAAAAAGGATCTAATGACTATTGGAAATCGTTTTACACATAATAACGTGTCAACGTAATGGCGCAATTTTGCTATCACAGCGATAAAATAAATAAATAAATAAATCGATCGATTTGTGTTTTGCTTGTGAGAATAATCTCATAGCAACAAAGAGGTTTTCATGAAAACGAGCGAACAGCGAACAGAGCGCACAAGAAATAATGTAAAAATAGCAAATACAAAGAAAAAGAGCACTTGTTTTGCGTTTTTATAAGAGCACGTTCCTAATTGGACGCTCGAGAGCGTCAATGATAATTGGAGACTCCGGAATATTACGAATAATCGTCGAATTTAATTGCCGCAGTGCAATTACTTGGAGCACATAAATATTGATGCGTCATATTTTTGTCGATATTGCTGCGGTTATTATTACAAAGGACATCTGTTCACGATTTCTTGATAGAACTAAAATTGAATAAAATCGAGATTCAAAATAAATATAATTTGCTTTAAGAGAGAAAATTGATCAGGACTTACCGAGAATAACTTGAAGCACTTTGTCGTCGTGAAACACGAATATTTTGTTAATTATGTCCATGATTTTAAAATCTCATGCTGGATGCACAATCTTAAAATATTTACCCGTAACGATTTAATAATTATAATATGTCTTTTATGATTCTTTTATTAAACTTTATGATTTTTATTAAAATTTTGATTATGCCGATTATAAATCGGAGACTTTTATTGCGAAACGATTGCATTTCACGAAAGATTGAACGATTTAAACGTATTAAATTGAATTGACGTGCAAAGTAGCGCGCATCGTCGATCAAATTTTGACACTTGCAGTTTAAAGGGATGAGTAGGTCGCGTCGAAGAGTAGCTTTTAATGCAACGTAGGTACTTCCATATGCGAGACTCCGCAGCGCAGTGCCTGAAAGCCTTAAATCCTACGTTGCCAGTGGCAACGTGCTTGGTCGATCGGTCAAAAGCCCTTTCTTGTCCATTATTTTCCGATTTTGTGTTCCACGGCTCAAAAGCCTTCGCGACGGATATGAATTCAGACCGGTGTGGCGAGCATTATGCGCCGCGGGGGTAGAGAATTTTCGACGGCGTTCATACATCTCCGCTTTCAGAGTTTTCTGCAAGATACGTATATAACACTTCGGAGCCAAAACATGTACTTTAAAATCTCAAGTGTATCGTGTTTGATACGCATTCGATATGTGGATGCCGAACGCTTTGTTAGGTTTTTCTTTCGTGTTCCATTTCCGAAAAAGAAACACATTGAAATTAACATTAAGTTAAACTTAAATTCCAAAACAATATTCTTTCAGTGATAAATTTTTGACGGGAAATATACAGATTTGTCTTAAATGAGTTAATATGCAAACTTATTTGAAAGCTCGGAGACTTTTTACTTTTTTTTTTTTTTTTAATTTTCGTTCGAACGAATTGCACATAAATCAATTCGGATTATCCGTCCTACTCGCGATCAATTAAGGGCGGCGCGGCCGATATTTGCAATGCAAGTATAAGCCAGATTGTGTTACGGCGATAAAGTGATACGATAGCGAACAGCGCCGGCACCGGAACAGCCAACAATTTATATCCCGTTACGCAATAGCTTTTACAGTGCAAAAACCGCTGCTATCGCCATCGGCGTACGTTCCTTACGTAAAAGCTTTCACTATCGCCGGTTGCATCCGAGCAATATCGCCCGGAACAACGTTGCATATACGACGATGTATAACTCTTTCTGCTATTTCTCTGGGGTTTTGAACAATATGCATCGACGATTCGGAAAAATTCTTAAGTAAAGAGTATGAACTCTAAAGTGTGTGAATTACGTACAAGAATGTACTCAAGCGTAATACTGCGGAGTTTATTTCTGTATCTCTTTCGTGCATCGTAAATATTTATTTATTTGTAATATTTAGTACAAATATCAATCATTTAGTAACATATTATTTTACGTAAGCCTTGATAATTTATATTGTTTATCAACAAAGAATATTGGAATCAATTTCGATAACAGACGGATTTTTTTTCCACCATCTAAAATCATATATTTTTTTACAATAACAACCAGATCTCTTATTGATTGTTATCGATAACGGGATTTCTCAGTTGTTTTTACGATTAAAATCCACAATCTAATTTCATAACGCACTCAAAATTGGCTCGAACAAAAATATCGGCGCAATATGATGTTACTTCTATTGTACACAATTCTCATGCATTTACATAAAGAATACAAGAGAATATAAGAGCATAAATTTTGTTGCAGATGAAACAAAATTGCTACTTTTTAATTCAGTAATAATTACGTGAGAAATATTGATTTTCAATCAACTTTTAGATTGACCGCAATAGAGTTGTGAAAAATTTCTTCAATTTTTTCAGCGGCTTTTATTTCATTTAGTTTATTTCTTTCTCTCTTTATAAGCTTATATGCGAACAAACCGTGCATTTTATTCGGACAATATTTGCACGAACAAAATACAATGAAATCCGATTGCAATGCGAATGAATAAAATTTTTATGTAACGTATGTTTATTAAATATCCGATCGACACAATGGAGCCGCGTCAATATGTAATTTGTAATAGCAATTATTTGATACATCAAAATTAAATTCATTGAAAAATTTGTTACTGAAAGATTTACACGGAGTTTATTATCACAAAACGCGATGTAATAAAATCTGTCATAATTCATTTTTTTTAGATGGCTCACAATTCTTCACGGTTAATCATTGCGTTCCACTTTTTGAATCGCGGAGAAGCGGCAGGATTCCCGGAAATCTTTTTCAAAAATAATCAACTGCCTGAAAATATCCGAGACATAAGATTGAAACGGGAAATGCTTAAAAACTTCAATCTCTAAAAGCCACTTAAATATTCGAGAAATGTGCGTTTAAATAAATGCATAGAAGCATTGTTTACGTACTTGAAATGATTTTTTGCAATCTGATGCGCTAAATTGATCTTTTCTATCAAATGTTCCGAGTACACTGTGGCGAGATCCTCAATGCGATAGTGTATATCAGCTTCATCCTTCGTCAGAAGAATGCAATTCCAAGGCGCCCATTCGACGTCTTTCTGATATCTGACTAATCTCAGGTGAAAAGATCGTTATCTTTACTGACTACCGATCGACCGTGCCAAATGTGGTTGATCAAATGATAGATATCGTGCTCTTGCATCGTAAATGCCAAAGCGAGAGTGGAACCGCGACGTTCTTCTTCAGCTCGCACACAATTTAATATGAACATGTAGAGATCATAATCCACGTGCGCAATATTGCGTCGACTTAGAGAGCTACAGCCTTAAACAGAGATATTTGGCTAATTATTCTTTAAACAAAGAAAGGATTGATCAAAATTGAAAAGCAAATGTGATGCAGAAGAAAACAGTTGGTTTTTCGAAAATTGGAAAATACAGTTTTCTAATTGTTTTTCATTGTACGCAACGTGATTATATTTTTAAAAAATTAATGGAAATTAAACCAACAAGAATTATATAAAATTACAAATTTTTATTTAAAAAATTAATTAATCAACTAAGAAGGAATATGTGTGAATTAGTTGTAATTATCGAAAAAAATAATACTCATATTACACTCACTCGTGCAAACGGAGAGTCTCTTCATTTTGGTATGCGATAAAAATCTGCGATAGGGAAGTAATTTTGAACAACTCCGACAAAATTTTGTCCTTGTCTCTAACGGTTCCCGCAATATATGATCTTTAACTTTTTCGTCGACGCATACACAACCGCAAATACCATAAACTCTCACAAAATCTAAATACGTGTCTGCAATAGAATATATTTATTATATTGCCTCTGAAAGCGCGTAAAAATGGCGCTGCAAAACATAAAGCATACGTTACAAAAAAAGTGATAAACAAAAATCCTAGAAAATTTCAAATTTGATTTGACTTCAATCCTAAGTAAACTTTATATTAAATAAAATTTATGAATAAATCTCTTTTTTCTTCTTTTTTTTATTTTAGTTATATTAATTGTCGGCAAAATTTAAAAATACTGTTTTAAAATTCACATATTGTTGATAAAGGCTATTATATATCATGAAAAAATTCAATCGTAGCATCTTTTCTATTTTTATTAATTATTAGTAATAATATATATTATTTGAGAATATTGACAAGTCTTATATCTTACGCATTATTCTTTCGTTTAGACAACTGAGCGATAAGCCCTTAATCTCTCGATTCAATAATGCAATCTCTTGATCCAGTAGAGACTCCAATTCAAAAGCCTCGAAACAATTGTGCACTTTGAGCGAGTTTTTTAACGTTATCAATAATTTCATTCGTTCTTCCGAACTGACGTCGTAATTGCTCAATGCGTCATATAGTCCTTTAAACTCTCGAGCCTTTTGAATTTTCGTAGTGATCATCTCCACAGGTATGCCTTTGTAACCCTTCCATCTTATCGACCTGCAGTTCCACGTCAGAAATCTGAGAGCTCTCTGTTTCCTGTATGAATTCTTAATCGCCTGTTTATGTTTGTCGATGCAATTGAACATCTCCACCGTTTTCTCCAGAATTCTGTAATTCTCGGCGCACTGTCCGCTCTTGAACAATCGCGATTTTATGTCCGTTAAACGATCGGATCTCCATCTTTCTATCAAGCTGTAGAGCATGTCAAAATCCGCTCTCGATCGCGGATATGTTTGGCGAAGAATGTTCCGTTTATGTCGCATTCTGTGAGAAAGGATACAATACGCGATTTTATGGCGGCGTAATATATGCAAGTTCCGGAGTAAAGCTGCCAACATGCTGCTCGCAGAAAGTGTGCGCAAAGTGTGTATGCGAGATAGAAAATCTTCTATATAGAAAAAAATTACTACGATCATGTCCTTGAAACCGTAGACACTTTTTCTTACGACACGCTTTTTTGTCTACATTTTTCAAAATATCTACCCTCGATAGAGTAACCCAAATCCGCTGCAAGCTTTCTTATCAATGTACAGCAAGATATTTTTGTAACAAAATTTATTCTTTATATAATTTCGAGTAAACTATCATGTTAACAAAATTTAGGATTTATTATTCTAAAGATGTTTAAAAATAAATGTACATTTTTCTATCAAAAGTAAAAAAGTTTCAAAAGAATATAAGCGGGTACTGCTAAACATATAACATCTATGATAAACAATATAGCTTTTAAGAAGAAAAACAGCATATAATTATTTGGCAATCTGAAATAGCACAAAAATAATTATTTCAATTAGGAATTATTTCTCAAAGTTAGATAGTACTTTATCGTTATATTTTATTCATAAACTCCCCAGTAAAACGGAGGAAAACATTAGAACACTGATTATCATGATTGAAAATAATTAGCTGTATTACTTGTCCGCCACGGTCTTTTCTTCTTCGTCTTTCTTACATTTTTCGAGCTTTTCGCGATAAATTCGTGCGCATTCCTTCACGTGTTTCCTCATCTTATATGCCTGGTAATTTCTTTGAATTATACGTGCATATTCATCTAACTTAAGACGCAATTCCGCGTATGTCTCATAAGGTTTCGCAGTCATATACTTATCCGCCTCGTTAGGTATGTAACAGTCGGCTCTATTTTACAATGCAAAACTTTCAATTGCAATTTTGCGCATTTTTTTCGTCATTAAATAATCATCATTATAATTTGTAATACGCGGATGTATTTATGTATTCAATACCGCCACATTTGTGTTGCATGATAACGCAATGGTTGCGTTGCTTCATTCTTCGTTTGTACATATTGCACCGCTCTGCTGCATGTATTTTCCAATAACACTCGCTTTGGCGACGGTTTCGTCTGGGAAGCTGCATCAACATATTCTATTCTCGTAATCTTGTGTCGCAGAAAAGACTTAAAAAATCTTTCGTTTTCTGTTTTACATCTTTCGTTTTCTGCTTCCGATAAAAGAACCATTTTAAAGAACTCTTAAATCGTCTTTTTCTAGCGTTAGTAAATTTTGCATATAAATCTTTTGATTTTTTCTAGATAATTATTTTCAGATGACAATTTTAATCGTGTATACATTATTTACCGAAAACTTCAGATGTGATGTGACATAATCAGAAAGGGAAAAAATAAATCATTGTTCATACGTGATTGGCAGCAAAATCGCACAAGAAATTAATTGTCATTTCGTACTAATTTATGAATAAAAAATAAAACAGAAAAAATTTCAGACTTGAATTTGAGAAATGAAACTAATATTACAATAAGATTATAGATGATAAATCGCGAACATTTGTATGTTCTAAGATAGTATGCGAGAAAAAAATGCTTATATATATTTCAGACTATCACTTTTTATATTGCATAAACATATTTACAGCTCACATCAACGTGTAATTCTTAAATCTAATACAATCATTCATAATATTCATTTTATATCTCTGGTCTTAATGTAGATACGATTTGTAGTTTTAACTTATGTACAAATATCATTTCCTTCCAGCGTACAAGTTATACATAAATTGCAGCAAAGCATTTCTTAACTTTAAAATTTACAATTGTGCTCGAACGACGGAAGGAAATGCATGGAATAAGGAGATCATTTAAAAGCGTCTGAATGAAGATAAAAAGTTGAATTAAAGGGAGATAATTTTCCGTAAAAGTAAAATTAAAATAAATAACATGCTCTTTATATTGTGGGAAATGATTGATACAAATATATAATTTAGATTAATTTAATCAGAGGAAAATGACGATGACAAGAAAAATCGAAGAGTGGTGGTTCTTTCGAATCCTTTTTGTGTCCGTCAGCTAACAACTTTAGCACCACGAAATTCGTCTTTGCTACTTTCAACAAATTATTGATCTGTGAAACAGAAAAATTAGATGGTAAAGATAACGCTATAAAGCAGTTTCATATTAAGCTGAGCTGGTATTTTTGAATGAACTTACTTCATTTTCCATTAAACTATTTGATGAATAAAGCAATAACGCGCGCTCCAACATATTTCTAGCTTGATGAAAATGTCGACAACCAGCCACGTACTGCATTTCACTAGTGACTTTTTCCTGCAAAAGTAAAAATTATAATTTATTTATGTGAAATATTAAAAGCAATATTTATAATGCAATCTTGAAACTATTCACTATATTTTAATAGGTGTAAAGTTAGCACAGAATTAAACTTACATTTCTTTTATGCATTTGGGCATTTGTCATATCTAAAAATTCTTGATAATGAACAGGCGGTGGCGTCAACAAGGATGAAAACGGCAATAATCTGTGCTCATATCTTACTCGCTCAGAATCAAATTGAATCTCTGGAAGAGGAATTTTTCCGTCCATGCGAAAACCGACTAAAGCCTGAAAATTTCACGAAAATTATTTTACATGTACCAAATATTTCTGAACTGCGTATAATTAGTATGTTATTTACTTTATAATATCCGCCGCATATATTTTGCAATGCCTGATACATCAATATTTCCAGACTGTATGGTCTCGGCGTCGATTTCTTCTTCTTATTTTTAGAACTCTTCTTGCCGCCTCTACCCTTATGCGTATCATTGTGTACATCCTGCTCCATCAAGAACGTATCAGCCCGCGTAATTGCAGATACGAGCCAACCGTACAGAAATTCGTACAAATACCAAAAGATGTAATGGTATTCATGTACCGAATATAATTCAAGCTCAAAGCCACTTAATAGATACATAACCATCACACGTAGCGTATGGTACAAAATCCAGGTACCGAAACAGGCCAAATGAGGCCTTGGCGTATCACTTTTCAACGATAGAGTATGTAAATATCCATCAACTCTCTCCGCCTAAAATATGTGCCATAGTGTTTATATTATCATTAAATATTTCATTGTAAATGGAATTACTAATACTTTATATAAGATTCCTTTTTTTCAAGCTAAATAGAATGTGTAAAAAGGCAAATATTATAAATATAACAAAAAAAAAATTTAAGAAAATAATTAAAAATGCGAGAGACAGGTGGATTCTTACTTCATCTTGTAGTGTAGCAAAATCTTCCAATAAATGTGCCAACTTGTCCCTTTGTCTCGCTCTATTATGTCCACTGAGTTGCAATAGGCTTCCGAACAAACTGACACAATGTGACAGAAAGCTATCGACGTACTCCTTGGCTTGGTGATTTTGAAGTAACGTGCTCTTTGGCATTAACACAGGCGGTGCGATAAAATTTCGCGCTGCGTCTCTCAGCACATCGGCGAAATTATGCACACCAAACACGCGGTTAGTGGCAGGCAAGTAAACAATTTGCAACATAGACCTAGACAATATGCATGGACTCTGACGCGAAAATTCTAAGAAAAAATCCTAAAAGGAAATTCCTTTACTTCATATATACATATGAGTCTCGTATCAATAAAGAATGATAATTCTTCGCTAATTACCAAAGCCGCATGAAATCCGACATGATTCGTGATTTTTGTAACCATTTTGAACCTGTTTATCAGCTCCAGTAAATATTCCAAGGCATCTATTCTTGGTTTAATTTTGGTATACCGAGGGAACGTTGGTGGTAACAATCTTTGATTTACCATGGGATCAAATCCCATGATATTTGGATGATTAGCTGTAATTAAGAATAAAAAATTATATCTTTTCCTGATAAATAAAATCATTTCAACAATGTACAATATTTTCTAAGTGCTATATACTTACAAACTTCATCAGCTTTTTCTCCGCGAGCCACCGTTAAGATCATAATGTGAAGCATATCGGAACAATTTGATAACAATCTTTGACAATCACTTAAATTTTGTTGCAACTGCTGCTTCCGGCCCATTAGCATTAACACTTGATAAAACATTTTGGTAAATCGAATTCTCGCATAAAGTGCTATTCCATCATTATACTGCAAATAAATAACAGTAGTAACAAATTATATAAATAAATATGTCAAAGAAAAACATAAGAAAGGTAGATTAAAAATATTGTCATTAAATTTAAAAAATATATATTCGAAAACTTGTGGATTAAATAAGAAACGAATTATAAGATTCTCACCTCTTTCTCAGATTCAACATCGACAAGTTTTATCCTGCTTTTCCGATGCAATTCTTCTTCCACTTCTCGTAACATGGATATCGTTTTCTGTTCAGTAATATCTTGCTGTAATCTGTAGCCATAGGTAACACTTTGAAAATCTTCTTCCTCAAATACTAAAGCTTTGTTAATACAGTCCTTGATTATCTCTATTATCTTGTACACTGCATAACAAAAGGTCTTCAAAGGCTTGTCCAGTATTTGCGCGGGTTGATGCAAGTACAAGTTCGTGAAAACAGTTTGCGCAAGACTGTGACCTTCTAACCAAGACACTATACATGCGTATGTAGAATCTATTATCCCTATAATTTCAGCTGGTGTAAAGTTATCTAGTTTGATTGTTCCTGAATCGACTGCTTGGGTGAAGGTGCAAGGCTTGTTGTTCCCTCGATTGCACAACATGCCCGCATCCATTTTTGGATCCATCATCTCAATAGCAGACATGGCTTCGAATAATCCAAATAGTTCATCATGTAACAGTTCTCCCAGCTCCAATTCTAGATGCAGAGAAACATTCCAGTACATTTCAGAAAGCAATGAAAGAAATGTTGATTATTATTACTTTGATTCTGAATATGCTAATGAAAAAATCTATTATGAATATGGTAATTCTATTCTTAATTTAAATTTTGCTCATAACATTTTCTTTTTTTTCTTGTATTAATATTTAACTGTCACCGTTCACACATTAGAATCTAATGTACTTAAATTTTAGAGACTAAAAAATATATATGAGATATTTAAAAAGTAAAACAAAAACAAAAAAGTAAAATAAAATAATTCAATGTGACATCAAATAATCAATAAAAATTAAAATTGGAGCAATTTATGAACAGCTCATTGATTTTATAAAGTAAAACAGTAAAGCTGGGAAATTAATCAAAGTAAAATAAAGTTTTAAGCATCAAGTATTGAATTATTAAACATAAATCCTGTTTGACATTTTATGAATTGTTAAAAGAAATTTTAATATTAACAGAAGCATTAGCAGGATTTCTTTTTGCACTTTTTAAATTTGATTTTTTTCTCTTTTTCTGAAAATACATCTATCTTGAATATAAAAAAGTCTCAAAGACATTGCAAAATTTGTACAGGAAAGGAAACAGAAAGTGTGGGACATGAGAAGCAAGGATGATCGAAAGTAATGATCAGTCGATTAGCCGAATACCTGTGATCGCCTCAAAGAACTCTTGAGTGATGTCCACCCAATTGTGTGTGACTTGGTCGAATCTACACAGTAAAAATAATACGGCAAGTTAAAAAATACCGCCCTACGAAATGCAAGCGAGCAGTGCAATTAGGTTAAATTGCACTGAGCACTGCAACGACGACAGTCGCGGCATCGCGAGCGATCACCACGTTCGTCATTCGCGAATAATTCGTAAACAATGCTCGCCACCACAATTTACGTGCGTTGAAACTTACGACGAATCTTTATCCTCGTTCATATCAATCGAATTCTGATCCTCCACCATGGTCGCCATTATTGTGGACGATTATTTTGTCACTTCTTCACAGGAATGCCTCCGCTGACCGTCACGTCGAAAATCCCTAGATAGTACTATATGAAACATTGAAGCTGACCATAAATGTAAAAAATAACAAGACTAATGCAACGACATTTATATTGAAAGATTCACACTGCGTCTTATTCTGATATTTAATTTTGAAAAATTTATTTTTCAAAGCAAATATAAAGAAAGTCCTTAAAAGGCATATTTTTTACTGAATATCTGTATCTCGTATATCGAACGTAGTGTGAATCCGCCGTAAGTCGCCATATTGCGTGAAGTTGGACGTTTGAAGTTCGGAGCCCACGCGTTCTCTCTAGATATTCATATATCATGACAAATACCGGGGAGCTCGTGCGGCGTGAAATTGTTAAAGTGGGGGTAATCAAGGTGGACGAAGAATCTGAGGGAATCTGGCGGCAGTGCGTGGTACGTTGTCGTTACGGTTGGATTCGAAGTCGCTTTCCCTTTTGCAGTGCTAATACAGTGTATGGTGCGGTGCGGTGTACGTCGAGTCGATGTGATTTGTCCGTACCGCGACTGAGAGAGTGCTGTTCGTCACGTTGTAAGTCGTTTGCAAGAGCACGAGAACAGTCTAGCGCTTCAGAGTTGTCACATAATACTTCCGAGATTAACTGCGTGCTATCGTCCCGTCTCGTTTTGCCTTGCAAAACCCGATCGTCCTCTACGGCCCTCGCCGATCGCGAGGAAGGCGCATGCTACCCTAATCAACAGCGGACTTGTGCGTCTCGTGGAGAATGTTGGATCGCGACACGGCGATACACCTCGTCGCCGGAGGGTGAGTGTTATTTTCGACCAAGCGCGCGCGCTGCCCGGCTCCTGCGTCGCGGCCTTGGCTCGCTTTAGGGCCGTTCGGCCTCTCCTTTACGACGTACCCGAATTACGTGATCTCGATCGGTCCGAGTGCGACTAATAACCTTTTCGAGTCGTACGATGGAGATTGCTTTACGAGAAGGCCACTTAAATCAGAAAGATGATATCTATACGGAATATGTCGGATAATCTATCAATTTTCTTTGATTTAACTTTGCCTCAATGTAAATATTTGTAAACTGATACCTTTTTGGGGTCAATTCGGTTTGATTAACCGATTAAAGTAAAGAATATTTGAGAATCGTTTTCCAGATACGATGCAAACTGAAATTCTCTTCGTAATCAGTTGTTACAAAAAGGACAAGAATCCACCATTTTTGCGAAAATGAGTTCGTATCGTCATATGATTCTTGTTTTTCAATATGTATCGTGTGTTCATGAAAAGGGTATCGCACTATTTTCACAAAAACATTTTCTAATTGAAAAGACATTTATATCTGCTCTTGTATAAAATAAAATTTATATTGAAATAATAATCTGGGTAGTGCAATTTGAAAATAGGAAAACAATTTTTCACGATTTTCTGAAAAGCATGACATATATTTGATAACGATACAATAAATTCAGAATTTGGGAATAGAAAAAATATTTGATATCAACATTGAAAACTTGTGACTCATCATAACCTCTCTCAATATTTTCGAAGAAATAAATTCCAAACTAATTAAATTATTTTAAATTAAGACATCCATGAATGATAATTGAATTTAATTGCCTTAATCGGGATCGTATGAATTATACACATCAAACGAATTTCTAGCTCTTCATCCATTCGAAATGTATTTGCATCGAAATAAATTTTCTAAAAATTTGAAAGATATAATCGAGGCAAAACACTCGGGATAGTTTTTCGTTTTCGTTATTGACGACAAAGTATAACGTAAGCATATCTATAAGTGTGATCAAGATAAGTTGATCTTATCGCAAGGATATGTAATTTATAACGCATTACGCCTATAAACGCAACTCGTCTCGTTTTTGCACTTACAATGCTATGACAACGCGCGCTTCGCTTATTTTCGTGTACAGAGAAGTAAGGCGCAATAAAACAACTTGGATATGTGAACTGCAAATGTTTTGAATCTTATCTTCGTTACTATTACAGATAACAGCGCATTGAACGCATAGATAAATAGCCGTAGATCGTCATTAATTTGTGTGCGTCGTCGTTCTTATCGAATAATTGAACTGAACTGGCATTGAGCACGCAAGTAGCTATGATGAAATGATCGGACAATTATTTTTAGCTCGATAAAGGATTTACGACATAATCGACAGTTCTCAATGCGGCTGTTCGTACATGTCATTTGTGAGGACAGTTTGACGCATCACGAAAGCAATCAGCTATTTTAAAGAGAATATTAAAAAAAGAACTGCGCTGAAAACTCTCTTGATCTTAGTGATTGCACAGTTTTATTCATAACAATTTTTTAACATTTTTGTTTCAAGTTGGCACGATTAATCGTACAATTTGTCATCTTTGTTATTTTTTAAAATGAATAATAATCACGATGATGCAGTGTGCACGATGATAAAGTGCATACATAAAAGAGATGTTTAAGATTGCGTCATATTCTAATAATTTTTAACTCATTCTTAGTGATTTTTCTCGTCGTTTAATGGAAAGGATCGGATTTTGCCGATTCGATCAACTACATTTGCTTACTTTGGTTATATAATATATCAACTATATGTAATTAATTAAATATAATATATTCAAGAAAAGAAACAAGCTATGTAATTTGAACGATGATGCTGAAGTCCTGTTTTGCCTACAATCTTTATTTATTCACTGATTCTTGATCATGATTTTGTTGCAATAAAATAAAAAAATTTCAGTTATAATTTTTGTTTAGAATTGTGCAATTTTAAAGGCTTGTAGCAATCTTGATTAATTTACTTCTTTTTTTATTTGTTGTATTAACAAGTAGGCAGAATAATAATGAGCAAAGTATAATAAGAATAAATAGTAAACGTAATAAATTTAATTGTTTTTAATTTATTAACTTCAATTCGTATCGCAATTGTAGGTCTTAAAATATCGTAATATAGTAGTACAGATCCTCGTTTGTCATTGTTTACGTATTTAGTAAACAATAGAGGCGAGTGAATTGGCCTGGTACAACCGGCCTTACCAATGCCGAAACACAAGACTGTTATTTAGAAGACCGCGTGTCAGCTCGCACAGGGAAGGGAATTCGACGACGCAGTTATGTAGAATATGTCAACCGTCGTGTATTTGCATTCGTACCTGCCTGAATGCGAATATACACATACACACACATATACACAATTCATTTCTGCACAACATCTTGTCGTGTTTATACGGGGTGTCCAGAAAAACTTGACAATTCGCCATTAAATTTTTTATTAATGGATACTGACTCGGAATTTCTGAAGTTGTTTCTGAAATTATTTGTTCAATTATTTCTTTGCAAAAATATTCATGTATTATAGATTTTTTTAATAACTGTCGTTTGCGTAGATAGGAGTCTTTTCATAGATTAAGCTTCAAGGATGCAAACGAGTAATAAAATCATACTCTTTTAATTAATTTTGAATATATTATTTTTGTAGATTTTGTATTTAAGATTATTAAAGATATTTAATTTTAAAGATTGAAAGTCGCAAAAATAATGTTTTTCTTTGAAATTTTTATGGAGAACCAATTAATTTCGTATTATCTCAGAAAACTACCCTTATTTTTCACGGCGGGGCACTTCGTATATAGAATAAGATAAGATCGTATGGAATCCATTTATTATCTAAGAAAACAATCAATAAGCAATGAAGCTTGTGAACTACTTTTTACAATCTTTAGGAGTCTATTCTTATTGTAGTACAAGGTTACATTTATTGATGCAATCTTATCCGATCGATATATCTTAAAAGATGCTTTCTTTAAATTGTAAAATTGATATTATGTTTAATAATTTTTTAACTTCTGCCACTAAATGTCTTGACAAATAAAATTGAAAAATTAGAATTTTTTAAATTAATTATAATCGAAGGAGAATAAAGTTTCGTTATCTTCTCGTATCTTTAAAATCTTATTCACTGAAAGCATCTATTTTTCATTTTGCATAATTCGGGAAATAAATAATTATTTATACCTTAATATGGAAATAACTACGGTGCAATAGCATCTCTTGGTTTAATCTCTGATACTTGTTACAAAATTGTAGTATAGACAGTATAGATATTATTAGAGTATTCTATATGTCGTTTGTCTTACGTCGGAATATCGATTTCACGGTATCGAATCTTACGTTTCCTCTCTTTTTATTCAAAAGTAGATCAATCAAAAGGTCAAGGAAGGTAAAACTTCTATATGTCACAAAGATAACATTTCTTGTTTGACGATTTTTCGAATACTACGCGTTTGAGAAAGAGAGAGAGAGAGAGAGAGAGAGAGAGAGAGAGAGAGAGAGAGAGAGAGAAATTTTGTCTTACAGCTTTATAAATCTACAAAACTTGGAATACTAGTAGAAATTATGTTAATAGGAAAATATATTAGCAAAGAAACTTTATTGACTAAATTAAACGGAATAAATCTTTGCTATTAAAATATATAGTTTTCAGGAAAAGAAAATAAGCTATTACGGATGTTAATTGAAACGAAATATTAATTTGCGGTTGTTGAGTAAAATAAATATTATAAAATAATAACCATCTCTGCTCGTTTTGCCCTTTATTTTTTTTGTGTTAAAAAAATATTAATTTGTCATATAGTAGATATATTTAGAAGATATATAAAAAATAATATTTGAAATGTCTCATGTGCGCTCATGCGTTAAAAATTTTTCACAAAATATTATTTTACTATGTATTGTTATATTGGGAATTATTATTTTAATTTACGGAAATATTGTGCAAAATTTTTAATCAATTACACTCCGGTTTATATCTCAAAATCTATTGTACCTCTGCAAGAATTAACACTACAATGTAAATGTGCTTCTTGGCGCGGAAAGATACATGAATTTATGATATGCGTGTGAATAGAACGTAAATTTGCGGCCATGGTTTCTTCGGAGTTGATAAAAGGTTCTGCATATGCTACGCAGTAGCGACTCTAAGGACAGATGAATTAGGCTAGTTAAAGAGCCTTGATGATGAATGACGTATTTTTTTTCTATACTTTGATACATAGCCTGCATGTAATATTTTTAGAAAACTTTAAACTTAATCGATGTGTAAAGCGTTTAAATAATTTTTCTTTCAGTTTTGCCATATATTTTTCGAGACTTTCATCCAACGAAAAATATGTGAAAGATTATTTTTCGTGATCTTTGAATCTTCGATGTCGAATATTTTCTTTCAAGTTAAAATTTTAGAAGTATCGCGAAAAAAGTATTTAAAAAATAAATTTTTGTTGTTCTCTCTAAAACTTAACATTTCTAATTTAATTTCTTATAATTTATTCGTCGATATTTTTAAGAAAACGCAATAAATTAATAATTTAATCATCTGTTATCAGTTTGTCAATCTCTGTTTTACAGATTTTATATAAATTGTTGAAGAACCTTAAAAAATCTTTCTGTAAATACGATCGTTGACAAATATAAACATGCGATAATGTGATAATGTGTTGCAACGAACGAATAACGAATGAACAACGATTCACTAACACTGTTAATTATTTTTACGGTTTGATGCAAAATAACTGTTATAAGTCTAATTGGAAAGAGTCACGAGATTGTATCGATGAAATTTTGCGCAATAATTCGCACCGAGTAAATATTGATATTCTTTTGTCGTTTAAATTACCGGCATTTTACGCGTTCTTGCCGTTATATTAATAATTTCTATTTCATTGTCTCCATGTCATCTCGCTGATATAATTTCTAGTAAGATAAGATAAGATGATAATCAGATTGCATTTTTGACGAGTTTGTTCTTTTCATAGATTTTTATCTGTAGATATTATAAATTGCAATCGTGATTGGGTTATAACTTGTTATAATGTTCACAATCACAAAATTTAATTTTTTATATATATTCATATATATTGATATAAAAATTGAAGTAAAAATATTTAACGCTAAAAACATTTTTTTTATTACATAATTTATTCTAATTTATAACAAACATTCCTTGAATCTTGTTAATAAATTGAAAATAATTCACACCGAATAACTATTGATATTCTTTTCTCGTTCCAATTATCACGCGTTCTCGCCGTTATGTTAACAATAATGTATCTCGCTGATATAATATTTCTAGTAAGATAAGATAAGATGGTAATCAGATCGCATGATAGCTTTCTACTATTTTACACACTATTACAGATAAAATAAAAAATACCTGAATATTTTATATCATATAGAACTTATAAATATACTTATTTATATAAATAAAAAAAATTCGTTGCTTACGGTGCAAATCAGTGCTCCCACTACAACTCTTTCTTTTATCTCGCGCAGAGTGGCTGGCACGGCAGGAGCAATAGTGACCTGCCCGCTTGAAGTAGTGAAAACTCGATTGCAGTCGTCGTCTTCTGGTTTTCATCCGCCACCAGTGAGCAAAGAATTCACATCCGGCCATCCCACATGCAAGGGCTCGCCAACACCCGAACAACGCAGAAGACTGTGCACCGGGTATCCCAGGTAAATTGAATTACCATACAAAAAAATATTTCAATTATATCGATCGTGTCTATAAAAATTTATATCGGGTATCAAGCTTGATCATGCGAGTAAATAACAGTCGATTGAGAGCGAGGGGGGGGGGGGGCGCAGTTTGAGAGAAAAAGTAAACATTTTCAAACGTAGATTTTCCTCTATTTCATTCAGGTATTCCAGCCACTTCGTAGCTCTCTCACATTTCGGTGTTTCCACCTCGCCTCCGCACTCCTCCCGACATGCGCCGGGTATTTATCAGTGCTTAAGATACATCATCAAGAATGAGGGAGCACGGGGATTGTTCAAAGGCCTTGGCCCGAATCTTATTGGCGTGGCACCCTCCAGGGCGATTTACTTCTGCGCGTACTCCAAGAGCAAAGTCGCATTCAATGCGATTCTACCCCCCGACACTCCGATCGTCCATGTCTTCTCCGCGTCTTGCGCTGGTAAGATTACGCTATTGTAATATTATTATCCCAAATATTCGAATAATTTATTCAAGCTTTCGTATTTGCCAAGTTTTCCGTTCTATATATATATATATAATATATATATATATATATATATATATACAATCGGATTTAATAATAATTATTATTTTTAGACAATGTTTACGCTTTCTCCGCGTTCACATTGGTAAAGTAATATTTTATTATAATGTTTATTACACTTGAATATGCCAAGAAAAAAATTGATTTACGTAAATTTTAAAAAGTTGTGAACTATGTATTCTATTTTGTATAATTTCACGTGGCTTTAAATGTCGGGACACTGCGAGATCAGTAGTGAATCGATTCAGTATCAATTATTTCACTTCCCGATTCTCCTATTGCTGAACATCCCACTAGCTTTCAATGGACTCTCATTAGCGTTAGATTCTTAATGATATTCTATTCAATGGCTTTCATTGGCTCACTATAACTGTAATTTTCATTATCCTATGACATTTCCTGGCTGAAATCTCTCGTTCTATTGTTTATTTGCACACTACTTAATCTGCGTGCTGACCCATATTTTCTATCAAAGCAATACGAATTTGCGTCGATAGAATATATGCGAAAATTGATTTTCATCACTTTTATTTTATTTTTCTGACAAATTTTACTATTCGCGATTTTTTTTATACCGTGATGGCTTGACAGAAACCATTGCTCTACAAAATATCGTGAAATGTAACGTTGCAAAATAAGTCGCACGTGCATTCACTAATAACAACAATTTTATAACGTAACATATCGCACAATATGTGACAATATTATCGTCCAAACAATAACTCACATGTACAACAATAATGTATATCATAAATTGATATACGCTAGACTGTTATTACATCGTAATCCTTACCAGGATATTGTGTGGTGGGCATTAATTTTCCCACGTTGCCTACCTGAAACAAGCTCGTGTCTTCGTCTGTGTGTGAAACGTCACACACTCTCTCTTTACACATTTAACTTAAAATTACAGTGTCGCGTGCTATAAATCTCGCTATATTATATCTTTCGCAGAACTATTTTCCGTTAATTTGTTATACTATTATTTTATTTAGCATATTATCTAATCATTTTTCATGCATTCGCGACACAATATAAGAAAATAAAACGATATAAAAGTTTATATTCCTAAAGTTCAATTTATGCAAACTTTTGTTTAAACAACAAACTATTTTTATATCTAATTAGATTCTTTCGAAAATTTATTAAAGAAAACAATCTAAAATTTATAAACAAAATATACGATTAAAAATTCTCTAAATACTTTTTGCTTCGGGTCTGAAATAAAGATAAAACTAAATTATATGCCATATTATATAAAATCTTATCTTTATTCGATTTTTACTTATTTAATTCCATCATGTTTTGCACGCTGTACAATCGCAACTCTTTACAATACAGGAATTTATACTTGTATAAAGCGCAATGATCTAATCTTGGACATAAATGAAACAAAAAAAGGAAAGGTCAGATTGATTAGAATAAGAGAAAGAAAACAAATTTACAAACAGATTCGAATGAATATATCGGATGTTGCGCTGTCAGCGCTTCTACGTCTTACGTTTCCTTTCGACAAATCCAATCACCGCGCTGATAGACGCGATTAACACTCGGCGGGGGGAGAAATAATCTCCGTGTCATTCACGCATTTATCTGTAATGAATTTATCGAAGTGCGGACGCCGCGTTGCGATTTCTGACGCATTCGAACTCCTCTGATGTCGATAAACTCCCGAGGGCACGCGGTACTCGCTGACATACACTATTCTTAATTCTTTCATTTATTATTCTTCTATTTCTCAAGATATTCAATGATTATTGGACTACACTTTTGTTTTACTTTATGATAATCGTTAAAGTCGTTTTATTTAACAAGTCGATAACAATATGACGATCAATTTCTTTTTATAATTATTTAGAACTTTTGAAAAAGATTGCTAAGAACTAAATTCTAACTGCATTTATTTAACAAGATATCGATAAAATATCTATCAGTGATTTAAATTTTTCATAATAAAATACCTGAAATATCTAGTTTGAAAGTTAAGCGCTTTAAGAAAAATAACGAAAATCTCACTATTTAAACGCAAAAATCATAATCATAAGATTAATAAACTTTTGAGAAACCATTTGTGGAATAATTAATGTCGAGTGTTAAAGTATTATCATACGCAGATAAGTAAAATAAAATAATATTTCATGATAAATATGATTTTATCCATACGTATTTTTATAACATAATCAGAGCCGGAAGTATATTTGGAGCACGTGTAGGCTAAAATGTTTATTAACAGAATTAATTATTATTTACACGAATTTTTCTAATGTCCAATTATAAAATGATTAGTTCGACAATTATCTCGCGAGCTCGATATTCCATATTTTATTTGTATAACAATCACACAAAGTGTACAGTGAACACAATTTGAAAAAAAAAAATGCCAAGCAAAAAGTTGTCGCATGGCTAATCGATTTAACTTGAGAAAAAAATGTCATTACGCGTAGTATCTCTTTTTTTTTCAAAATTTTTGCTCGAAATAATCACTTTCCGCGGAAACGGCGAAGAGCATAAACGTTTATTGCATAAACGGCAATGCATTTTACGATGAGCACTACGCATGCTTCTCTTTTTTTTCAGATTATAAATTGCTTCATGACATTATTTTGCACTTTCGGAATTTCTCGAAACGCACTTCTCTCGTTTGCTCGTGTAATACGCACAGCAACACCGCTTGTTCGAAGATGCTCGATACAGTGTGGTCAATAAGGCACTTGGCGAATGATAAGTTATATATACGGAATGCTGAACTTTGACCTCGAGAATGTAATATATTCTCTCTCATCATTGATCTATTCGCAGGGGAGCCATGCGGTTGGTGCGTGTGTTTCTTTTCCTTAATACGATTGTTTATCTTTTGCGCAAGTACAGACTGTCCAAGAAATTTCTTTCAATTATGAATTTTTTCATTCGGTCAGACTTGACTCTAATGAAAATTTGATCGCACGCTATTCTCCATCGCAACTTCTCGACTCTCGGCAATAAGTGAACGGTTATTATACAAGGGGTTTCAGAAAAGAATTGGATATATTCTTATATAATACAGGAGAGAGTAAAGTTTCTTTTATATAAATATTTCAAAAGCATAAAGATTAATGTTTAATTTAATTTAATTAATTAATTTTATTTTTTAAATTAATTAATGTTTTGTTTAATTTATAATAGTTAAAAAGAATGGATTTTTCAAATAATTTATGAAAGTCTTATACAATTTTTAAGTATGTTTAACGCAAAATCTATACGTATTTAAAAAAAAATTAAATTATTATTTGTACAATTTTTAGAAAAATCAAACTCGAATTGTGGTTATAAGATCGACTGATAGTTATTATAAGTCATTTTTATTTCTCAAAAATAAAAAAGAATCTAATTCTATTCTATTAAATTTTTGTGTGAAGTTATTGCAATAACTTAACAGCTTCGATATTCTCAAATTTTTGTATCCGCTTGTATTGCACCATGCATTGATCGACAATCATCGATATCGATTGTTTTCATTCTGTGAATAGAATCTAATTTCTGTAATAGCACAATTCATAGATCGTCGAGTTTCATTTATGTCGTCCACATCTCGTATTTGCGTGATACCATGCCTTTACTGTGACTAAGGCACTATTACGTGCACGTTTACTCACGTATATAAGGCATTACGTAAAATATCGTACGAGCATGTATTAAGATTAATGTTAACGGATTGGGTATTTATAATGACTTTTATCACGGTTTATTTATTGTTAATAGCTTGTAAAGATATCCGCAATTGCGTTGCATACTTTTCCAAATGTAAATTTAAACAAAAATAAAACCGAGTAAATTAGAGGCGTGTAGATATAATAACAAGCAATTTTTACAAACAGGCGATACAGTTCATTAAAATACTTAAATCTTTAGATGCACTTTTTTTGTTGCGAAGAACTTATGACGCATTTTGTTATAAAACAAATAATACAATTTTTATTCTGCACCTTTTATTGTTAATTTAAAAGACACAACCACTAACAATTTTATCCTTGGAATTTTTACATCCAGCTATGTCTGTTAAGCAAAACAATGATAATTCACATTTAACTATTTTTCTTGAATCTTTTTCCGCGATGTTTATAAACGTACTTCGATAAGACGTGTTGCGAGAATGACGCATTTCTGCTGACTTTTAATACATGGCGCATTTATTGGCGCCAAGGCGTTATTCGATCTGTTTATTCGCTTCCATCATCACTCACTATTCAGGGATTCACTATTCAGTGAATTTTGTAATCAGCGAATGTTTACATACACGACTAATGATACCATTTTCTCGTACATCACGTAATCGAAATCTACATAAACCAACGATCAAAATCGCTCGACTGCACAATTTACAATTTAAGTTCATTTATTCTTTATTTAGATTTTTTTAACAGCAATTTATTTCGAGGACACTACATATAACTTGTTGTCTTTGAATATTAATTACCTCAGAGTATCTTAAATGCGTAATAAATAAATGTTTTTTTTGTTCGTTTAAATTTGACTGAACAAATTTTTACGCAGTAAACATTACAGTCTATATAAGTCAGTGTGCCGAAAATGAACGTGTACGAATCTAGAATTGAAATACGATTAAAATGTGTGTTCGTGCGCCGAAGAATACGAGAGAGCAGCTGTATACGTTTATAAATGGAAGAGTTGAGTATAAAAATAACATATCGCAATTTGCAAGACTTATCGCAGAGATACTTCATATTTAAAATGAGCCGTAGAAAGTGTCTACTTATTTACACATACAGTCTTGGCTTGTTTTTCGGATTTAGGAACTCACGCCAGATGCGTTAGACTTTTTTCTCTCTCTCTTCCTCCTTTCTTCTCTCTCTCTCTCTCTTTCCCTTTTTTTCTCCCTCTCCCTTTCCTCTTCTCTCTCCTTCTTCTTTCTGTCGCGCCGCTTCGCCGGCGAGCGAGAGAGTGCCTCTCCGACAGTGTATTTCTATTTTTAGCCGTCCTCACCGCGTAATTCAATGCTTGCCTTCCACACGTCTTGTGGCCGTACGGACGCAAGCGACAATAGCTCTATCGTCGGAGAATCGCCCGCCGCGCCGACCGCAACGGTGCAACCGGAATTACATCACAAATGAAGATAGTGCAGCATACTAGTAATAAAATACCTTTCGTATATGTTTCTCCAGCGCGTCTTTCGCAAGCGATTGTAAACAACGCCGTTTTACGCGCAATTACATATTCCGAAGTTTCAGATGATTTTTTCTCAGTGTATCATTATTCTTTTCGAAGATCCAAATATTGTGGTTTCCAAAAATTCAAATTGACTCCAAAGAATTCATTCTATTTCATCGAGAATCGAATTTGTTTTTAGATACCTGCGGACTACAGGTGCTTTATTATCTTCCAGACTTGTCTATTTGCATTAAATATATTGTAGTTACAAGCTGTCTTCTAAAATCAATTGCAACTAATTTTAATAAATTCTAACTTTTTTCTTAAATATCTATACATGATACATCATTCTTTTTTTGGAATGAGAGAATTTTCAAAGCAGCACCATTGTTTTCGAATGTATCATTTGAAAATAAAATCTAGTAATCGAAAAGACAGCTCGTGCTGCAGTTTATTTTTTTTTCGAACATTGTGTCACTTTTTATCAAAACATCTCGTACATTTTCGAATGCTTTATATTGAACTTATTTTTACACGAAGCATAACAACGGGAACGCAGAATGATCGTATTTGTTTTTATATATGTGGATAAAATAGCAGTCAGTTTTTCAGATCGAAAGAATTGCCTTTAAGTTTTTCTCCAACATTCGCTTCCAAACAATTTGTCGAATTCCTTCGGAAATTTACATATATTAGACTGCGTAGTAAAAATGGTGAAACTGGTCTTCTATGTTCTCCCAGTGTATTCTTTAGACCGGTTTTCTAGTTGAATCTTGAGTTCCGCATCGAACTCAAGTAGCGTGAAAGGTAAATAAAACGTAAACAAATCATCGCGCACGCAATGATAGCAGATTATACGAACGCGAAGTATTTTTAGTTACGTAACTCTCTCTCATGCATTGCCACATGTCCTCGGCGATGCACACTGTGACACAAATAGTGCGATGCCCTGGCGATCTTTCGCAAAACTGGGTCAATGTGAATAGTAAACCTTTCATGCAGGCTCCTCAAATATAAACAATAATAGTTTACATATAATAAATTTAAATCGCGCTTTTAAGCTATGATTAAAGGGGGGGGGGATATTAGATAAAAATAAATCTTTACTTTTTTATAATTTGTTTATTTGAACTGTTTAAAATATTCTACATGTGCATAGAATATACATATAAATTCCCAATACTGTTTTAGAATTATCGAGCTTATTTTTGGTTACATTATTAATTTTTAATATGTAGGAGAAAAATTAAAATTGGCAATATGGACTTGTATTTTGTTTGATGGTTAAGAATTTAAATTTTTGGGATACACGTAAAAAAGATCTAGAATATTATTTGTATTTCGAAGAAATAAATTTATTAGAGCTAATCCCGACAGCGAAATATTTGTCGAATAGAACTATTTGAGATAACTTCTAATCGGATTAACTATGCGTAGGAAAAATAAGGCATAGCGATCCATTTACGATACACCGTGGCGGATTCAATAAACGGTCGTTCACTTTTACAGGTTTCACCGCGTGTACATTGACAAATCCGATTTGGTTCGTAAAAACCAGACTACAGCTGGACCACCGATCGCAAAAAGTCACAGCGATAGAATGCATGCGGAGGATATATCAACAATCGGTAAGACAAGATGGATTTTATTCCTAATCGCGACTTATAATCTAAAATATTCGACGAGACATGCGTCGTATAAACTGGAATATTTCATGTAACTTATATTTGCGCCTTTTTCAATCCTTAAATCTATGCCGATCTCTATACGATCTAAATCTGTTGAAATTCAAACGCAAGTTTTATTGCATGAAAAAAAATGCTGTATAGATCTATCCATTTGTATCAAATCAAAATGCAATCACTTTCAAACGTGCTCCCAAGTTTGCCCTCTATATGGAGATCGCATTTGCTGAAGTCAAACGATTGTGTAAATGTGGGATATAGATCGCGCTTTTTTCCCATAACCGTTCCGCCAGGATCGAAGTGACAATTACTCTCCTCGTTCCGGATTGGAACGGATAATTTCAGTGCACTAAAAAATAAAAATAGCACGAGACGTGTCTTTTACGGAAATAGCTGTATTTAAATATAAAAAAAAATTGACGCCAATAAAAAGTTAATAAAGTACTACGCCTGCTAAGTGTTGACTAGACAGAAATCATGCGATAATTGATCAGAATGTACTTATATCTTTGTGTGAGATAAAAATTCTAAATATATCTCCAATGACACGTTTTAAAAAAAGTATTAAAAGCTATAGAAATATTACGAAATAAAATGTATATTGATTTTTTACAAAAGTTTACATTTAACGTGGGGATAAACCTGCCATTATTTTGGACTTTCTTCGAAGCCAGTAATTGTCTTACTACTGTTTTCCTGCTTTCGCGAAAGCTCGGGTTCGTACTGGCAACTTTTCAAAACCGTTTATCGATCAGATTCATCAGCGTTGCTAGGTTGAAATTACGTTGCGCTGCTTGACGAAATAATTACATGTGTCGCGGAAACGAATCGGAAGAATCTAAAACGGCTACGGGAGTCCACGAAATTAACAGTGATTTTGCAAGTGCATCAATAAATATTTAGTGAACGCTAAGTTGCAGCCAAGATTATTTTCTCGGGTGGCGTGACGTATACATATAACATATTTGTTGGAGCGAAGCAGCTTCGGATATAGAACTGATGCAATCATCCTTCAATATCTCAGATGGAAGTATCGAAGATTCCTTCGAATCGAAGAAATTGAGCAGCCCAGAAGTTTGCGAGATGCGCTTTGAACTTTTGTTACGTGACTTAGTTTTTTGAATGTTTTCTGAATGATTTAAATCTTAATCTTAAAGTAGGTAGATTTTGACATTTCTTAATTTATTTACTTCAACACAAGAAATTAGTAGTTGATTGTTAGAAAATAATTTTCTATATATGACGGTTGTAAAGGAGAAGCTATATTTAATAAATATTTAAAGATTAAAACGCATATAAAAATAATATACGATAATATAAGAATATATTTGCTATTTCTTTAAGAAAATAGACAAAAGATAGAAAATTTTATCGACACGAGACATGTATTTCTAATATAAAGACAAATTGTTTGCTTGTCATTGTCTTGTCTTGCGGACGCGTGTCAAATGAAGATTATTTATTTGAAAAGCTCATCTACATGATATATATGTATTATGTACCGAGATTGCACTCGACACGTCGGATTCTGGCCAACTTTAAAATCGGCACCGTGATCTACGAATAGTACATCTAGGTAAAAATACCTTGGAAAATACGGTGCTATGTTGAGCAACATCTTACGTAGCAAACAGATCTTTGCATTTCGTACCTTATTTCATCATCCTGTAAATCATTGCGCGTCTACTGCGCGCGCAAAAATTGGATTGGAACACAAATCGATCTAAGAGCGGGAAAAAAAATATTTTTGCGTGAATAACTTTACAAATATGATGTAATTACAAATATAGGAATGGCGATTAATGGAAACGATTAATAGTGTAACTGTTAATGAATATTATATACACAGAACAATAAAATAAAAAGTAACATCGGAATATAAAAATCGATGCGAATTAAAAAATTGCAGCGGCGCAAAAATAAATAATCCACACATTTATTTGCAATTTGCTACTCTAAATAGGACGTTAATAAGAGGATAATTATCTGATTATTAATTGATGTTTCTACTATCACCGAAATATCATTTTATCTTACAGGCTCATGATTTGCGATACCGATATCCATCTGTTATCGATGATATACCACCTTTGCATTGCTCGCACGAACATCCCAAATGTTTTCAGCTCTCTTATCACAGATATGAGCACTCGATTTAATGCTGTCCTTAACCGAGCATGCAGATGTCACATGTTTTCTCCTTCAGACTAAATTTCATTCTGGTTTACATATATCGCCGATAAAAAAATATCATACCGCTATTATTCCATCGTTCAAAGACCATGTGTCGAAATTGCGTACTGCAATATTATTAATAATGTTAATTTACATATCGCGCGCCAACGCAGTTCTTGTACAATTGTGTCACGTTTACATGATAATTTTCATTGATTATTAATATCAAATTGACTGTTCTACAAGCTCATTTAATTATTCAGTAAATTAAATTTCTCGTTTTCCACTTCGTATTTGTCTTAAGTCATATGATTTTATAATTGATAAATTATTACACAATTTATGTATAAAGCTTCTATTTGATGAGCCACAAATGTCGAATGTCAACATGAAAACAAATTAGATTCATATTTATACGTATTCTAATTAATCTTTTGTTCTTATTTTTGTTTTAGGGTATCCTGGGATTCTACAAAGGTATCGTCGCATCCTACATAGGCATAAGTGAGACTGTGATACACTTTGTGATATACGAAGCGGTGAAGGCATGGCTAGCCACACACAGATCACGAGCTTCGAGGACGGATGACAGGAAGACGTTCCGCGACTTCATCGAGTTCATGGCGGCAGGCTCGTTCTCGAAAACGATAGCGTCAACCATTGCCTATCCTCATGGTATGTGTATATAAAAATATTATTTAACGTAATCTCATGATATCACTATTCCAACTCGCATTTATCCATATCTTTCCAGTGAATTTTTATTAAAATTTTATTAAAAATGATATCGCTCCAATTGATTTTATTAAATTAGAACATAACCAAATGTTATAAGATTCTAAGACATAAAAATGAATAAAATATACATTTTAACATTCTAGATCACTCCTTGTTTTCAAAATTTTCAAGTTCCATTCCGTTGCTTCTCTCTACGTGCCAATAAAACACATTTTAGAATCTACTTTATTTCTTGTCGAAGTGGCTGGATTTCATTTATGCTTGCTATGGCAGAATAATAGGTTGGCGGTTTCGTATTTTGATTTCACGAAAGGATAATGTGTATTTCTTTTGCTACTGTTTTATGAGAAAAAGAACTCCAAGTTGGTCTAGAAATAACGCAAATTATTTGCAATGCGTGCCAGGCGCCTGTTATTGCGCGTTACATTCTATCTACGAATGGTCGTAGCGTTTCTGCTGTTTGAGTAAATAACGCCCATCCGTGTTGCCATCGCAGCAGTCGCATTTCGAAATCATTTTGCAAATCAGCAGTATTGTGCATAAATTGCGTGCGATTTCCAGTAGAACATTCGTAAATAACACGAGAAAAGCTACTTTTATTTAGACAAGATTGTTGTCACATCATTCTCGAGCGATTTGCGAATCGTCACGACGATAGGAAATCAATTTCACGATTGTACATCCTGAGTGCATTTTTATTATTTTTATTTATCTATCAATAAAATTGTTGCTTGCGCATGAAACTCTTACAATTATAAGTATAACAGCAATAGAATCTTTTATATAAGAAATTACTGATTGAAATTTTAGTCCTCAAAAACTGAAGAGTTACATGAAATTTACTAATTCGAAATTAAGATCTTGATTGAAATTAACAAACAGGCGTTTGCGCATCCGAACAGAAGCGTATTGGAATAATTTTCCGCAAATCTCGATCGATAAATAGTCTCCAGTCGACTTTTCACTGATTTGATCTCTGATAACAATTTCGAGGCTTATTGCTAGACACAGAATGTGCAATATAGGATGAAAATAATCCGTCTTTATCTTCTTCAGAGGTCGCGAGGACCCGATTGCGGGAGGAGGGCTCCAAGTATCGCACGTTCTGGCAAACTCTAAACACCGTGTGCGCGGAAGAAGGTGTAAAAGGTGTTTATCGCGGCCTCGGCACTCAGCTGATTCGACAGATTCCGAACACCGCCATCATAATGGCAACGTACGAGGCGTGCGTGTACGTGCTGACGCGACATTTTCGACCGGTTGCGGTGACAACGTCCAGCACCGACGTGACATCGGAATTCTACAGCGACGCCAAAGCGAAGAGAGAGCTGGCCTAGGGTCTGCTTTCGGCCCCGGAGTAAGGGCCGCCCCGCTGAACACTTTTCCTGCTTCCAGTAGGTGAACACGCGCGTCGTACTCGGGACACCGTCCTAAGATCTAATCGCACGTCTAGGCGCGTCGAGAGCAGCTCGATCGACACCGGAAACTCGCGCTCGATGCCCTAATCGTCGCTCCAGTGGTAGCCAAAAAGGTACCAGCGTATCGATCGCATTGTGCTCTAAAAGTGTAGCAAAAAGTAGTCCTTCCTCCTGTCAGGTAGCTTGCACCCGGACATGGACTCTATGCATCTAGCAGAGAGAGAGAGAGAGAGAGAGAGGGGGGAGGGGAGGAAGGAGAGAAAAAAGAAATTATGAGAGAGCAGATGTTAAGTGTTGGATATACGGAAGCTGAGACTTCGCTTCTCGCGAACACGCAGACATGCCAGGAAAAAAAAGACCGTTGTGTACGTTGTGTTTATCGAGCTAAAATTATTCTTTGCTCCAAAAATAAAATCTTTAGTTCAGAACGCGTGTAAAGGTTGCTACAAATATAATAGTCACTGTGAATTTTAGGTTTTTGACAGATTTTGCTTTCGGTGCTACTTCACGATTTGCAGTTTTTTTTCTTTTCTTTACATGGTATGTATTGTTTTCACCTGTTTATTTACCCAGAAAAAAATTGAAAAAGAGAATGCAAAATTGCAGATTTGCTCACAAGATGGATTTTCATTTGTTACTATATTCAATGCTCGACGCAGTGGTAGAGTAGCGGAGTAGCAATTTCTGATTTTGTGATTTCCATCGGACGTTTAAGATTTTCAAATTACCTCAAAATGTGATTATTATGTTTTCGTTAGGAATCGATTAGTTTAATTAGTTTTGGTCATAGATTTCGACACTTTAGGACCTTAAGTAAAGTCCGTATTGAGCGTTCGTAAAATTGTGATATAAGTATTTCGATATTGAATTTTATGAAAGATTTAATTTTTTTCTATATTTGTCACTTAATTCTTAAGCAATGTTACATCAAGAATTTGTATATTAATATCTGTAAAAATTATTCTATTTTTTATTTTAATAGCACACGCGAGAAATGTTACCAAAAATATTTACGTACATTTCAAAATTATTTGAAACATGATGTATATATATTTAACTTGCCATGATTACATTGATAATAAATCGATGATTATATCTAAAAGGTGAACAAAAATTTTCCAGATGCTGAGAATGTTATTATAATAATCTATACTTTTATAATTTCTCCAGTCTGTTCATGTATATTATATCGATCTTTTATATAAAATTATATATATATATCCTGTTACACACGCAAAGTTTTTCTATAGATTCAATCTCATTTTACTTATGGCGACAATTTTGTTCGATCTGTATTCTTCACATATTTCTCTTCACATAACTTCAATAACCGACTTGGTCAGATTTTTGATTTTGCAACTTCTCTCAAGACGCAATTAGTCCTAAACCGATGTATATTTTATATAATTTGCTCTTAGACGAAAGCAGCAATGTTAATGTTAGAATAGCTCTCAGAGGACTAGGACTAGGTCAGAGGACGTGTGTTAGGCTGTTCTGATAATTTTCCTTTTATGTAGAAAGATGTTGCGACATCGTGTACATATCGAGACTGTAGCTGTAAATCTACAAGCGTTCGTAATTAAATTAATTAGCCGTATATAACATCGCATGCTGTACCTTCTTCAGCAAGAGAGCTGAAAAAGTATTATGAGAACATCACCGCATTGATATACTTAGCGTATGTCTCGTATAGATCTGTTATTGGACACGTGAGATATAGTTTACAATCGTCATTGTTTATTTCTTGAAGCATATGTGGCTAGTTTTAAGGAAAGATACTAAAAAAAAGATGTTTTTTTTTCTTTTGTGTTTCTGTATCGCCATTTCTAAGACCGGAAAGCATGATCCTACTTGTCGCTCATCCGAGTGTGGATAGTTCGATGAATGAAAATTATACTAAAATTGATTTTTAATCGCATCAATCCAAATAATTTTTTTGTTTAATTGAATAAAAAAATTATTTTGATTCAATTGATAAATTAGAAGCCAACTTCTGTATAATTTTAACCTATCAAACTATCCAGCCATAAGCAGAATTATTCTCTGGTCCAGACAGGAGATCACTGCATGAAAGTGATGACGATTTTTCGACCTTTCTTGCAAAAATATTGTAAAAATTATTTAAAATAATATACAGCAATCAAAATATCAATAATCAAAATTTTTCTAAGTTTATCTAGTTTTATGTAATTTTGGTTTTTTTTGATTGAAGCACAATAAAAAATTATAATTTTAATTTAAAATGTTTAATTAGTTAATGATAATACTGTTATATTTTAAATACGTGCCATTTCATTGTTTGTACATTGATATATTTTTTTATACTTAGTGCAAGGAGGACTTTTTTATCAATTATCAACATATATGTTTCTGTTTTTGCATAATGATTATATAATTCTCTAATATGAATGTAATATTGTAACATTTTATGTTAAAGTGTTTGAGAGTTAAACTTGACATATTCGATATGTTTTGCACTTCTCGCACACGTTTTATAGTTTAAAAACTTATATTGTATATTTATGTATCGTTTTCTTTAAAACCAGTCACATATTTATGCTTGTACTTGATTAGTCGACTTTTCGGTTTCGATCAAAAGAGCCGAGAATATCATTAAAACTACAGCTAGCTACTAGCGTATTACAACTACAAGCGTAGATTTTACTGGTTATCTAAAATCTTTCCCTATACTGTACGTAAAGAAACTGTGATTTTATTTTATCCATTAGCAGTGGAGCTTGGTGCTTAGCAATTAAGCAATGCGAGAAGTTACACGATATTATATAGGATTTATATACGAGCACTTCGTTCTATAACTCGCATAAATATAAGATTGAGAGATAATAAAGAGAAAGTAAATACATTATAAAGCATTATAATATTATAATTATATAATACATTATAAAACATATTTACCCGATTTTGTTTATCTTTTACTTAATTTCAGGTAAATTTGAAAAAATATATTATTTTATCGTTGACAATTAACGTTAAAGCATAAAAAATAATGAACAAATTGCCTCGTTCACTTTTCTCAAACATCAATGCACCAATGCTAATTTATCTACAAGAAAGTATGCGACTTCTAGAACACCGTATATGATCGATATATTAATTGTTAACATCTTGTTAAGAAATCATTACGGTACTGTTGTCAATTGTAAATGTATGCCCAAGAAATGCGGATTCTAAGTGCCAGGCTGTTATTAAACGTGTATAGTCATTGCGTAAGGATAGCGTGCATCCTGTAAAGGATTGAGAACGTATGAAAATTGGATGCCGGATTGTAAAGCGTGTACAGATTAGATAAAGAGTCATTATTGGAATAAGTGATGAATTTTTCTAACAAAGTCAGATAGGGAGAAAAAAAATACAAAGAGAATGAGAAAGAATCGGAGAATGTTTCATGTATTCACGAGAAGCGAGCGTTTCGTTAAAGAAGACTGATGTTGTACAATTATTTAGCATAGCGTGAGAAGATTAATGCATATATGAGTATATACAGGGTTCTGTATAATTATGGTGGCACTTTAATTATAAATGATGAGTTCCTAAAAATTTATATATAAAATGTTAAGCTTGTTAGTTTTTTTAAATGTACTTGCTATTCATATTCTAATAGATTGAACGAATTTAATAATCTAGGAAGATAATAAGATTATTCAAGTTTATCTAATTTTAACAAAGAGGAGAATATTGTTGATTTTCTGGGAAATAAAGTTTCATATGAAAAAATTTATTTTTTATTTTAGTACAACGTTTGATACAATTTCACAATATGACAATTTTATTAACATATCCGATTGTACCATCAATTATGAAACACCCTGTATATTATCTTGCGATACTCTGTAAGAAAGCTGTATGGATAAATAAAATTTATGTGTATATAAACATCTCAATAAAAAGTAAAATATATAATGTTACTTGTCATTAGTTTGCTATGATTTATCTAACAAGTTTTTGTTGTAAAAAATAACAAGCAATGAGTAATGAGTGCAAAACTTATTTAGTTTGTAGCACTTTCTTCTCGTTTCTAACTTATAATAGATATACTTTAATAATTATAAAGTTAATTCAGTTTCTTATAAATTATCGTTGTGTATAAAATAAGACATAATGAAAAATTCTTACAAAAATAAAAAAAAATGTACCTTACCGCTAGACTGACATAATATTAATATACTTCGAAACTCAAGGATTATTTGATTCAGAAATTTTGAGGAAAAAATTAAAAATTTGAACTTTCTAAATTTTAATTTCGATTTTCTGCAGACGAAAATTTAAATTCTCGTAAGCGAGCGTAGTATCGACCTCGATTTATCGAAACTGTTCGAGATCGATCGCGTCAGAGCAAATGGCGAACGCGTAGTTGCACGTAGCGATTAGTTGTATTATCCTGCAGGATAGATTACAGTGTCTGCATCAATGGCAGTTTCGAATGACGATGTGATTGTAAATAATATGGCTCATACGGAGCAGCTTATAGGCGACGAATGCCGCATTTGCCTGAAGTCCTGCACGGAGATGTACCAGCTCTTCCGCAACGACGACGGGATATTGCAGAAGTTGATGGCTGTCGCCGCCGTACAGGTTAGTTCTCGCTTGGTTTATTTTGGATCATCGCTATTCTCCGCGTTTTGAACCGCGGTAGAATATTTTCATCCGCATTTTTTCGCCACACCTGCGACGGTCTCGAACATGATCGTATTTGTAGGGTCCAATTAATTTTTTTTACATTTCTAACTCATTGTTTTGAATGCAAACAAGTATTGTTGTTTTTTAGAAATGCTGACTTTATTATAGAATTAATAGGTTTTAAGATCAGCGATTGTTCACGAAGATATCTTCAATCTTTTATTTAACTAATTTTGTCACTATATAAAATTAATTATGCGAAATTGGATATTATATGTTATTATACACAATAGTTTTCTGTTGTAAAGTAAACAGTAATTTGCAATGTAATATTGCTTAGAGATAATCACTTATTTGTTTAATTTGTTTTTAAATAATATTAATCAGAGTTCAAATTATATAGAAATGTTTTTAAACTACAGGCGGAGGAAGGAGATGGTCTACCGGCTTCTATTTGCTTATCTTGCAATCATTTGCTGGATGTGTCCTACAACTTTAAATGCCAGATTCAGAATGCTGATCTAAAGCTACGTCAGATCTTGAAACTGCAAGTCCCATCATTGCTGGACGACAAACATGATACCATGATGGTCAAAGATATCACAAATATTATATCAGACACAGCTTCTTGTAAAAAGGATAATCATGTTCTAGAACAAGAATTATACGCATCTCACAATATCGTTACATTCGATAATACAACTGTTCAATCTGACATGGCAATTAATAACGACAAATCTCATATGAGTCAAGAGTTTATGCAGAAAACGGAAATTATAGAACTTAATGAAAAAAGCATGCAATATAATACATTTAAAGAAGATGTACATAACACTGAAATAGTAGGAGTCGTTTTATGTCATGAAACACACATGGATGACGCATTTATCAATCAGTCAAATCCATTGTCCGATCCGACAATAGAAGAAAACAAATGCATCAAGCAAGAACAGTTAATATTATCTAAAGATATTGTGCAATCGGGAAGTTTAACTGATCAGAATAGAGCAGATACATTAAAAGTCGAAGTTAAGCAAGACACACCATTAGAGAATTACAACGATCATACCGCTTTAAACCAAACCGCACTGTCAGAAACGGACAATCAAGAGATGAAAAGCGGCACGAATTGTAGTGATGACGAGGAGAAGCCATTGATAAGCAGGACAGCCAGACAGAAATGCTTGCACTGTGTCAAAACGTTCCCGTCAAAAGTCGCATTACAACGACATATTATTGTACACAAACATAAGACGAAACTACGTTACGTGTGTTACCTGTGCAACAAGCAGTTCTCGAACATTTCTAAATTGAAGAGCCACGTGCTCAACAGCCACGAAACTTACATGACGGATAGTAAAGCGACGCAGGATGATAGTCAGGATAAAAAAGTCAGCAAAGTATCAGCGAAAGTTACTAGAAGCGGCAATGTGATAGACGGCATGAGAGAAGAAAAGAAAAACTTTAAGTTCACGTGTAAGGTTTGTTCGAAACAGTTCATATATCAAAAATCCTTCATATCTCATGCCAAAAGTCATCCCGAGTACAATGAGGAGATGTCGGACGAAGTGCTCGACCAGGCTGCGAGTAAGACGAGCAGTGAGCAGAAGGACAAGACGCCGATGTTCAGAGAAAACGAATCTGAGGAGGAAGATGAAGAAGAGGATGATGATGACAGTGATCTGCCGATCGAGAGTCTGCAATGTACACAATGCGGCAAGCTCTTCGCCACGAAGAGAAATCTGAAGAGGCACATCTCGACGCACAGCGGCTTGAAATTCAATTGTTCGACCTGCGGGAAAGGATTTTCAAGAATCGACAAATTAAAGGATCACGAACAGTCAAAGCACAAAGAAGAGATATTCGGCAACACCGACGACGAGGACGATGACGAAGAGGATAATGATAACAAAGTCAATGAGTATGCTGAGAGTCGGAAGAAGGCAAGTTTGTCTCGTATGATTTTATTTGTACGAATCCTATCATTTTTTTCATTTTTATATCAATGCATTATAGTAAAACAATCATTTATTTCCATAACACCGTTGTAATAACAAAAATTAAGTCATTCTTTGAAGTTTACTTGTTTCTCCGAAAAACACGCACGTCCAACAAAATAATTCTAAATCAAATCAAATCAATAAGGAGCGTAAAGAGCCACAATGCTAGATCTTCGTGCGAAGGTTATGATATATTCGTTAAAAATGTTTACAAACGTTTCAGCCTGCCATCAGGCCTTCTTCAATGTACAAAATAAGATACAATAAAATATAAAATTCGCTCGCAATGCTTAAATAATTAAAAGATGTGGAAGACGTATTTGCAATCCTTTATCAACCATATTGTAGTTCGTTTATAAATTAGATAGGATTGTATTAATTGCATGACGGAGAAGCGCTCGCCCAAGTAGAAGGAACGAGGTGGAAAAGACCAGATGTCTTTACATGTTGAACTTGAATATCTTAGTCAAAATAATTCTAACAAGTTGTTTTCGTTTCAGGATCGACACAACAGACCGCATCAGTGTGCGCTCTGTCCAAAAGCTTTCGCGCAAGCTCAATCCCTAGCGAACCACGTGGAAAGGCACAAACGAGAAAAGGACACGCAAAAGCGGTTCCTCTGCGAAAAATGTAGCAAGTGCTTTGCTCAGAGCGGCTCGCTGGTGGCGCATATGCGCACGCACACCGGCATCAAGCCGTACGTATGCAAGGTGTGCAGTCGCGCTTTCACCAAAAGCACATACTTGCAGCTACACTTACGGACCCACAGCGGTGAAAAACCGTACATTTGCCAGTATTGCAGCAGAGCGTTCGCCCGGGCGAACACATTGGCGCGACACATCACCATGCACACCGGGGAAGCGAAATATCAGTGCAACATCTGCTCCAAGTCCTTCCGGCGGCTAACATCGTTGAACGAGCACACGTACACACACACCGGTCAGCGACCTTACGCGTGCAAGCTTTGTACGAAGAGGTACAATAACGCTGGCTCGTTGTACGCCCACACGAAAAAGTGTAAGGCGCAACAGCTCTCCGGCTCGACGACAACCGCATTTGCGGTGTCCGCGACGGACAACACCCCGCAGCAGAACGACGCGTCGATGCCACAATTGCTGATCTACTCTCAAAGAAAGTTGGTGGAGGAGGCAACGGTTGGCCAAGTCGTACCTACGCCACAGTACATGGTGACGAGTGTACACAATCAGAAAACAGTGCCCGCTAACGTGATCCAACCGTTTACCGTGGAAGATCCGAATGTTTACAACTCGAAACAATTCAAGAATCAATACTACACTCTTTATCCGAACATGTAACAACGTATCAATTACGACTGATAGATTTTTTAACTGCCTTTGCCCGGTGATTTTATTTCCATTCGACTCGCATTTCGAGACACTAAGCACCGCTGGCAATACAATAACAAAAAAAGTATAGTAAGAAACATGAAAAACAAATCATATTTTATTAGTAGAAACTTAAGACATTAGGGGCCTTACGCACTGTCGACTAAGTCGCCGACGACTAGTCGACAGTGTGTAAAGAGCCTTATGGAACAAATTTTAATATTTAAGTTGATTTCAGCGTACATAGAAGATTGCATGAATTAAATGAAATATTAAAATAATAATTTGAAAATTGAATTTATTAATAATCGATAAAATATTTTTTATTTAAAAAATATTTGAAAGATTGGAATCTTTTATTTAAAAAATTGAAGAATGGAATTTAATTTAACAAATGAAAAATTACAATAATATATATTACATAATGTACATATTTCGAAAAAAATTTCTAAACGACATATTTTTAACCTCTGGATATACGAATGCAGTAGTATTTCACGGATGACTCAGGTTACAGAAACTAGAAGTTCTTGACATAATGATGTACAAAATATCACGAAAAAAGTGATGTTGAAATTAGAAATTAGAAACATTAGTATTTACACACAAGAAACTGTATAAATATATAATATATTGGATATGTATAATTATATACATATATGTTTAAATAAGTTTTAAATTAAGAGAATATACCATATTCTCTTAATATATATACTTCATTGATTTATAAATATCCATATAGGATGTTTCATCGTTCAAGATTGTGGCAAATACTTCGATTTGGAATTGATTTTTTTGATAACTTGATGGGAACCTAGAGAAAAATTAGTTGTAACTTTTTATATTAAATGTCTTATTTAGTTAATTTTTGAGAAATAAAATTTGTTAAAGTATTCTATTCAAAGTAAAAAATTTTTTAACTCAAAGCCTGTCTTGTTAAGACAGATTTGATGGATATCAAATAATTGGTTTAAATTTTAATTGATAATAACGATTTCACTATCATAAACATACAATTTTCAGAATCAAAAGTGAAGTATTATGAATCATTATTAAATTGGTATAAGATAATGTCTCTAAAATTTTTATTAACATTAAACGCATTTGGAAGAAATTAATTTTGCATTATACATTGATTGTAATTATGCAAAACATTGTGGTAATCGATTTTCATATTTTCGATACCGACGATTAAATAATGTATTATACAGTGTGTTCCGAAAAAAGATCGGATATAAATATATACACATATATATACATATATATATATGTATTTGTAAATAGTTTAAAATAAATTATATTGCGTTTTTGTAAAAGTAGCAGATGTTCTAACAGTGGCTCGCTTATACTTTTACGCAATATAGCGAATATCGATACGCGAATTACGCGGATATCGATAAAGCTAATACAATGCAATATTTTATAATAAAGTTTATAGAAAAAATACCATGTTTCATGCTTCTATCCTTAAAGATGTAAGTCGCATAAGAATAATAACGTATGAAAAGTTGTCATTTATGTTGCTTTATTATTCATAATAAAAGCCTATCACATAAAATCATTTATTATTATTAATATTTATAATAATTTACAAATTAAAAGTATCATTATATCAACGCTCCTAAATTTACACATAATATAATCAAACAGGCATTATTTTAGATTTCTTGGCCGCTAGTTTTAACACTAATAACATTTATTGTAATTTACTAATTTTTATTTACATACATCTGTACAGCTTTGTATTTTAATATTTTTCAAAAAATTTACTTTTCTAATTGAAGCAAACTTTTTTGAAAAATTTGAGGAATTTACGTGGCGCGATAAGGCATAAAAAATGAACATTTTATTTTCAATAATCAGCTTACAAAAATTAAAATAAGATACGTATGTATTTTTATTCAAGAATATTTGCATGTGCTATTTATTATCCTATTTTATCGTCCAATTTCCAAGTATTTTGGAACGTGATAAGCTCGACTTATAACACTTATGCTCTAAGCGCCTCTTACAGATTTTCCTCTGAGACTCGTGGAAAAATCGGCAATTCTCGATATACCATGCGCATGAAAGAAAAATGATCGCCCGCTGTTTTCGGACATATTAAATTGTATTCCTGCGGGTCTTTGGGGCCGAAAGGCGATACAGGTTCGCGGAGGGTGTCCGAGATCACTAACCAATATTTAATCAACTTTGCAGGAGAATATTCTCCGGACAAATCAAGGACATATGTATCAGACCGCCAAGGGGGAACCGACACATTCGTGTGAATTGATATCAAAGACATACACATTTCATGTGTGCATCGCTTTTCCTCAGCAAACAATGGCGTAATTATTAGGTACGTGTTTCCTTAAAATTTAGAAATGATAAAATTGTAATTGTTATTAATTAGAAATCGTATATTTTAACAATTTTTGAAAAAATATAGATACATAGATCTTTCATAATTATATAATTTACGTACGAAAAATTTATCTATTTAATAGTTGTTCTTATTCAATATTAATGCTCTGATTTTTCTAAATGTTTAATAATTCGATATTTTTTAAAATAATTTATCTATATTTTGTGAAATATAAAAAGAGATGTTCTAAGCTTCATTAATTTGATTCAACTATTTCACTTGTTTCTTGCGCGAGCGCATTTTGTGAATTTGTCTGAAGACGCTGTGTTCCCGACAGAGCGACGATGCATTATATACAGGATTTATCTAAAAGGATACGCCTATGTGAGTTTTGATTGTATGTGAACGTGTGTACCGCCCGGAGATGTGCACGTTGGCAGCGTGCGACACACGTTTCGCGTGCCGGGATCGGATTCCCCAGGGATAAGATTCAGGAAAGAGGGTGGAACACCGCGACTGCTCTCATCGTGGAACTCTCTCTCGTGAGAACAAGTGCAAAACAAATGTCGCACAGGAGCCGGTCGACCGATGCGCATCGCCGCACGATGCTCGTGAAAATTGTTTCTCTAGGTTGAAATAAATCAAATTTTCCCTGCCCTTCTACTATCTTGTCCGTATCACATGAAAGATGTGAGAAATTTTAATTTGTTCGTAGGGTATCTTATCTTGCACCGGAAATGTGCAACATGCAAGGTCTTTTAATATTACTTTGTTATTTTTTAATGGTCCGATTGCGTGATGAATTTGGACTTGAGAAGTTTAGACAGATTACTTTTTATGAGATCATACTTCGTTGCAAAATTTGAATGGGAGTTTTTCTCATAACTTTTTAATTTCCAACGTTACATTTATGCTGCAGTAACTAAAATATGTATCAAAATTTGTTAATTAAAACCGACGAAAATTTTGATAAATATTTCTGAGAAGAAAAAGACGACAAATTCGTGAAATTCATGCAGAAACCGATTAAAAATGTAGTTATATATTGTTTTTTAAAGACAGCGTATAGAAATTGATTATAATGTTATATAATTTAAGTAGTTTTAATGTAAAATTAGTTTAAACGATTACTGTTAACACCAAAATTGATGCAGCAGATTTTCATGCATAAAATTTTCGTGAAATGTATATTTTTAGTTCGTATTTCGAACATTACAGAACGATAGCCGAAATCTGGTAGCAGAAAAACAAGAATGGTATAAGTGAATTTTTTTAAATTTTGTAACTTAAACATATAGGATATAAAATATTGAAATTATCGATTTACTTTGTTCTGAATCATTTATTTGCTATTTATTGATATTTCTGAAGACGCTTACATTTTATCCGGATTATCTGTTCGTGAATAACGTGCGGTAAAAGAAAGTTTGCAATAAAAAATTGGAAAAACTGTTTAACGAAAGCTTAACATTAGATCAGCCGAATATTTCAGGAACTACGCACAAGAATAGTTTGCCACTGCATGTATAAAAGAAGCATCGCTTTCTGATTAAATAAGAAATTTTATCTTTCCTCTCACAATTTCCATCACCAACAACGCATCCGATGTAATTTTAGTAAATCCAGTTTTCCATGCAGCAGACATGGTGAAACAATCAATCATTAAGTTTTGTTTGTCACGTGTAAATATAGAAATTATTTAATTTGTTATAATTATATGCCAGTTCCAATGCGTAATGAGAAGTACTTGGAGTTGGAAGAAAATAATATCGTTTTTCAAAAGGCTTGTTTGACATATAAAAATAATTTTTCTAGTACAAATTTAATTGAGACGACAATTCCCATCCTTTTTAACCATATCAGATCATTGTCCAAGTATATTTTAATGCTTCGTAAATAAAACTCGTTAGTTTTGAAAATTATTGATTAATTTTAAGATTGTTGCTGTAGGTTTTCTATCTAAAAATAATCGTTTTTATAATTTAATGGTTTATCTAGCCGAGATATGACGAAAATGAGATAAAGAAAATGAATCTTATTCGATACAATGTTACCTTCAAAACAACCGAGAAAAATTGCTGTATGAATGATACGGCAATTGTTACGTAGTTTGTATTTTTTATTTGTCGATTAGATTTGTATTAAAAGAATGACGTTTGTTGATAAAACAACACGTTAACTCGTGAAAAAACGATATTACCCTCTCTCTCTTTTCCTGATCTAATATTTAGCAGCCAGAATATGACTAGTTAGGCGCTTTAGCGTCGACGCGCGACGCGAATAATCCGGTCCGTGTGATATCCTTCGCACGGCACGGCACAGCACGCAGGTGTAAACAGCTCCGACGGTCTCCGCCGCGCTACGGGACGCGACGCAGCCTCCTGCAGGCACCTCGCATCCACTGGAGCAGCCAGGACGCGGCGGCGTCTTCCGTCGTCGGCGTCTCGGCGCGGAATCGATCGTAAAGGCGAGGGTGGGGCGGTCGGAGGGGTGCGTCATCGAATGATAGCACTCATTCGAGCTGATGGCTGTTTGGGGAAGAGAGGGCCGTCTGGTCCGTAAGCGAGGGGTGGCGCTCCGCGTGAACCACGGAGAGGGTGGAAGTCGGCGTCGGGGCGGCGTCTCGATCCCCATTCTCGTCACGGGGATGGCTCGGCCGCCGGCGAATCAGCTTCCGCAGGACGGACACCCCGCGAAACGCAACCCCCGCGAGAACGGCCGCGGCCACACCCACGCTCCTACCCGCGGCACCGGCGGTTATTGAATTAAGCTTATCATTTGATTTTGAGGAGACCCACCAGTCGGTCGTACGGGGCGCTCTTAAGCGGGCCGAAAAACTTCTTCCTATCCGCGGTGTAATCGCAATAATTTGATATCGCTGATCCGATTACGCGTCATAAGCCGCTATCGAAGAGCCCAGCCGACGGCCCGGCCCGGCTCCCGGTCTCGCTGACGCGTCGCCGACGAGAGAGCGAGACGCGCTCCTACCGCTCGCGTTCATCCTGGGACTTGTCCGCGACCGTGCGGGCCCGGAAAACGGCCGTGCGAAAGGGCCCGCGGACAAGCCGCGCGGTCTACACGCGACTAGACCCCTCCGGACCTCGCGTCGCGTCAGTCGCCACATTCGCCACTCTCACCCAGCGCGACGAGTGTTCTTTTTTTTTTTTTTCTTTCACAAAATTTCGCGGAACACATATTTTTTGTTTCCGAGCATCACCGAATGTGGTGAGCGTCGCGGCGATCCCCAACGCGATCAGTCGCCGCCGAGTCGTTTCCGAGTTCGTTTCCGAGTTTGCCTCGTCACTGTCGAGCGCTGTCCCGCGGGTCCTGCATTGTTATCTGAAGTGCAAAAAGTAAGGGCGCGCGAAGTAACCAAGTGTCATCGAAATAACGCGAAGTGGATCCGCTCAGAGTCGGCCTAGCAGCAGCATCATGGACTACTCGTATCTGAACCAGGCCGCGGCCGCGGCGGCCGCCGGTTTCGAAGCGTCCAGCTGCGCCCTGGCTGCCGGCGAGATGCAATGCAGCTACGGTGATCTGAGCTCGTGCTCGCAAATGAGCCAAGCTTATCGCTACACCGCGGCGCGGGCCGCCGGTTATCCCGGTAACGCGGCCGCCGGTGCCGCGGCCGCTGCCGGTGGCAATCCGTTATCAGCCCATCACACAGCACACCCCCACGCCCACGCACACCACGGGGCCCATTCGACCCCGTGCTCCGTAATGGCCGCCAGGTCCCAAGAAGTTCATCGGCATGCCGCTTCCATCTTCCCCTCGGCCATTAATCTACAGAGTGAGTAACGTTTGATCGAATTAACGCACTTTTCGAGCATTCCACCACCCGAGCGATTTATTACGGTATTTTGGGAGAATTTCTACGACTCTTATGTAATCTTTCTGTTATTAACCTTCAATTCCTGCAATGAAATCGAAATTTAGATGTTTTGTCAAGTATCGGAAGGATACATTGTGTTCTTTGCTTTTAATTTTTATCGCTTGTGCTTTGAAATTAAATACGTATTTTTTTATTTTGTAGGCAAATGATCTTATTGCATTAACTTTTAAAAACAGATTCTTTCGTGATTATAATTTTTTTAAACAGATGAGATATCGATACTTTGTGAGTTACGAACAATCGAAATAAAGTGCATTAAAACTCGGTTGTGCTAGTAAACATTCAAATCTTATTCTTTATTTAATTTTAAGAAATTTTTTATTTTATTAGAATTTTAATTTGACATTTAATTAAGCACATTTGATGTTGAAAATAATGTGATTTATGATGCTTTCAAAATTTTCTTATTATCTTGAGATATAATTACATTTAGGGGATTTATTATGAAAGTTTAATACAATGGAAATGAAATACTCGATTCTATCGAAAAATGATATTCACTGAAATTTGAAAGATTATTCCATTCGAAAAACGACGAAAATATTTGTGCATTCATAGACAATGATATACACGCTGTGTGGGAAAAACTCACAACTTGGAAATATATCGTAACGTAAAGTATTACGACATGTAAAATTATCTATAATTATTTAACTTAATTATCCAGAGAGCATCTCATTAAATATTCGAACAAATATACACGTTATCACACGTTCATTGATATTCAATTTAATTTCAAGTTCTTTTATGTCATTTCAACAAATAATTAATGAATAATTTTGTTATATCACATGTATTAATATTAATATAACACTATTCACAATAAATATAAGTAATACCGTATTCGTAATTCCGACTGCCGCGGCTTAACAAGAGCTTCTTTATCCTTGCGTCAATCCGTCGGGCTATGAATGTGTGACGCTTTGTCGTGTTTGTTCTGGCGATTTGTAAGGGGCTAAACATGTCACACACGAACAAGGAGCTAAGCTCCCTCCGCCCTCGTTGATAATTGATCTCGATTGAATTTAACATCACACATATCGTCCCGACATGGTGCGCGCAAGAATGTCAGACGGATAGATTATGCAACATAGTATCTGTCATGCTCCAATTAATGTTTTATGGACTTACTGGAGAAACAGGAGTTATCATTAATTACAAAAGCGAAATTAGTCATAAAGGTGTGTAATACCGGTCGTGTAAAATAAAAATTTTTTGCGGATATAAGCAGCATGAATGTATACAAAAAGATTCGGTAAATTAAATTATGTGTATATCTATGCTTATCTCCGCAGAAACCCCACTGTTTTATTCTGGTGTCAATTTTATATATTTTAACATTTAATAGAATATAAATGTAAATTTTCCTTGGAAAACACAAAAGCACACGGGAATATTTCAAAAAGTAACAGCCAATAAATGTAATGTATTTGTTACTATTGTCATCGTTACTCTTATACTTTTATTACTTTAACTTTTCGTTCATATAAAGATTATTCCTCTAACACTTTAAATTCCGCATGTTTTATATTTCTACACGATGTCGAAAAATGTGCATTCACTTATACGCAGATACTCGTAATATAATATTGAAAGCAAATTTTATATTCACATAAATTTATACTTAATCGTATACTTTGATTTATTATTGCATGTTCTTTTTTTATATTTATATATTATGATAAATTGAATAATTAAATTAATAAAACCCTAAAACTCTTACAGACCAATACAATTGCTTTTTCTTGCATTACATTGTAATTATCATTTGTTTTATCATTATTATTTTATTGCTGGCATTTTTGGTGTTGAATCCGTTATGCAATCACTTTTTATATTAACATTCTGCGCATTTTTAATTTCAGGCGGTTTGGGATATAAAGCTTATTCAGGACATGACGGCCTCGCAGAGAAGAGAAAACAACGTCGGATACGAACAACATTTACGTCAGCCCAGTTGAAAGAATTGGAACGTGCATTCCAAGAGACGCATTACCCGGACATCTACACCAGAGAAGAGATCGCTATGAAGATTGACTTGACGGAAGCTAGAGTCCAGGTTAGTACAATTGTCACGGTTAATCCCTTTTCTATGAAATTTAACGCTAAACTGGCAAATGAAAGCTCTACTCGCGATTGAAGTTGTATTTATCTATCAATGTGACATATAATTTTGAGAAAGATGTTTTTTTATTAAAAATTTAATAACGCACAGAACGCTGTACATTGCGCAATTTAAGTATTGATCAAAATAATTCACCATCAATTATTGCGGAAAAGGAGCGCGTTTCCAGATTATATATCATTTTACATTGCACATTGTGCAGCTTACTTTATCCGCGTAAAGGAAGAGTAGCGGAAAGTTGAGGGAGAGTTGGAAGAAGGAGTGTAGTGTAATTACATTACACACCATTTTCGTTTTCACGGCTACCTGCAGGTCGCGAGCTGATGGATTATACTGTCTAATGCGCTTGATGGATTATCATGAACGAAAGACAAACGACTCGGGAATTATTATTGTAAAATTGTTCTTTATACGTAAAATTACGATTACCTGTAGCATTCTTGAGTCCTACATTGCTGTTGATACGAGAAAAAATTTGACGATTAGCAGTTTTTTTTGTTCGCGTTTTTTTTTTCACTGATATTTTGCGCGATTTTTACACGATAATTCTTGACAATTTAATCACCGCGCATTTCACGATCGCAATTCGAGATGTATCTTTTATGTATGAGAATAATTCCAAATTTACAGTAGTTTAACAAACACGCTAAATTTTTTTACAATGTAACAACGGAAAAATCAATTTTACGCACACCATTTTTCAAAGTATATATTATTCACTGCATAAACTGGTGTACATATATACATGTTTCCAAATGACTAAAACTGTCTTCAAAAATGCTGTTCAATATTTGAAGTCTACATTTTCCGAACGCGAAAGTTTACTGTGGAAGTTAAACGCCTGCTCAACTTTTAATTTTTAATATTAATGTAATGAGCATAAAATATGCTTATCTAACTCTCATCTCGTGTTGACATTGAACGTAGTGTTCGTATTAAGCAAAGAAAGTTCAGAATCGGAAGATCATATTTAATGCTAAATGTTCGATAAAGATACGTGTGCATACATTAAAATATTATATTAATAAAACTTAAATTAAATTTTGACTCATGTAAAATCAGCTAACGCACAAAATTTTCTTTAATCGATCAAGTTATGTCATCGATCAATCTATCGATGAGTTTTTACTATTATTTGTATCTGTGTACAATTCAAATATTATTCAAATCACATTAGAATCATCATTTTTGACAATTATCGAACATTCTGTGTCGAGAAACTGTTTTTGTTTCATGCAAAACAAATTTATACGCGTTTCTGCGAAACACAAGTGCGAAGCAGTGCAAGCAAATCGGTCATTTGTCGTAGATTCCTCGTCGACTTTTTTTTTTTTAATTTTTTTTCCGCTTGTACACATTCTAAGTTACCTGCTCACAGGTAAGACGCAGGTGTCGCGGGCAGGACACAGGTGAGGTACATGCACGGTAACGCGATTAGACAGCTCGCCAGACTCTAACCGGTCCTAAAGTTAGATTTTCCGACTGACGTGCATCACTTAACGCCGCCCAAGGACCTCGTTGAATCTCATTCAGATTACCGGCGACGAGAAGTGCAAACGATCCCATTGGTTTCGGCGAAATTGACGGAGAAGGGAGCAATAAATTTAATCTCACATCCCCGAGACGTAGGCGCGGATTAATATAACGTTCGCCAACGGCAATCGCGATATTATTACACGGCAGCGAGATTGGAGATAGCGATTCGACGACTGTAGAACCAAATCGCTCGCTATTTGTGGAGATGACTTGATATTCCGACGTGCATAATCCACTTTTGTACGATAGTGCGATCATCTTGGTGGCGGTAGTTACTTAAGCTGCCGTTAACCCCTTGACCCGTGATATTAGTCGTTGCTATATGTTGGCCGGAATACCAGAATTTGAGGGTCCAAGCGCCGCTTTCGTCTCGTGTTATGATTCGATCGAACTTAACGTTTCTTTCCGCAATGTATCTAATTATCATCGATTCCCGAATTCTAGATTGCTGCTGTTTATAAGTACTGGTGTTCATTAATATATTGTTAATGCTATCTTAGAATTAGATAACTTATAATTAAAATTTGCACGATTGATGCTTATTATTATTATTATGCTTTTTCATTAAACATTTCTTCATGTTTTGCTATGTTATTATAATCTTTTTTTTTTAGTTTGTGATATTTTACGTATTATTAGGAGGATACTAGTTATATAACTGTATTTTATAAAGTTAAGACGAGAAATACATGTATTAGTATTGCTATTATTTATAAATTTTTTTATTTATTTAAAATATATTGCAATAAATAAGATGCTGTGCATACAAAATTGGAAAGCGGTATACGCAAAAACGAACTTTTCCAGATATTATTTTGTTAATGTCAAAATATATTAAAATATTGTCTATTGAAAAATTGTAGTTTAAAAATATTTCTCAGTGGTCTTCGAACTTTTCTAAGTGAAAATTAAGTTATTCAATCTGTTTTTAGAAGCGAGAAGAAAAACCATTTCTGGAATGTCGATATCCGGCATGAAAAACACGCACGTATATTTCATTTTTACAAGTTCTTATATTTTATTCATCTGCAAGGATTCACATGAGTTTTGTGAAGTTTTCCAAACAATTTGTTTATTTAATCTTTTTTTGTTTTTTGCTTTTTAAATTTTTATTGCTTTTTGCGAATATTTTTCTCTTTTTACTCATTTTTACGTGTTCTTGATTTTTCTATTGATGTAATAAACTTACATATATGATTTTACGTATTATTTTTACTAAAAATAATCATATGTACGTACATATGTTGCGGTGAAAAAACCACTGCTGACATTATTAGAATTATTAACATTTTGTCAATAAGCGCGATGGTATAAAGCATTCTATCATAAACGTAAGAAATAACGGTGATTCTTCTTTCCGCATAACAGCATGTGAATAAAAAATGTAATACAACATTTTCTTAAATATAAGAATTTAGTTCCAATTTTGAGGCATTGTAGGAATTTTTGAAAATCCATTTCATTACTCGTTCAATTAAAAATTGATATAACTGATGCATTCACATTTCGCGTCGGATGTGCGCGTATTCGCGTATCATGAACGAGGACCGCGCGATAATGAAGCGCGAGATAACTATTAATACTCTAGTAGTTTGCGGGTTCGCGGCGCGACCGCCATCTCTGGCAAGGTTTATCCTCCCCCGCGGTGGGGTAAGTCCTTTGTCTGCTCGACTTTGCCCTCCTCCGTCCTGACAGGACGTACGGTCCCTCAAGAGCTTCCTCGTCCCTTCATTCGTGATTCGTTCGTTCGTTGCCGTGAGTTATCCTACCTACCCCCGCTGTCTTCCAGCCCTCCAATTCATCCCCTCGTTCCTGCCACCATCTCTCTCAGTTCTCCATCTCGTCGATGGCGGCTGCTCGATAAAATTTCCTCCCTCTCGCATCGAGAGTCATTGGCTTCCTCTGTCCGCCCCTTCCTGCATATCCTGCCTCCAGGATACTTCCTAATCGGCTGCCATTACTACCCCTATTTTCCCTCGCTATCTATAGTTTCTCTTAGTGTGAAGTATAAATTGAGTTACGCAGGAATGTTTCTCGTTAACTCTTTCTTTGGACATTATCCACCATTATTTCTTCTTCTCCATATCTCATTTAAGATACTTCCTAATCAGCTGCTCTTATTATCTCTATTTTATCTCTCCCTCTCTCTCTCCCTCTCTCGTTCTACCGTGAGATATAAATGATGTGAGCGAAGTGTTCATCGCTGATAAGATATTCTTGGTGCGTTAACAATAAGTTTAGCAACGTTTATTATTGTTCTCTCACTCCTCTAACAATCATCGATCTCGCTTCTGTTTTACTTTGAACAATCTCTATTAAACTAAGACATTGAATCTTGCGTTTGTGAAATAGCGGCAAAGTGGATACAGTACGTTCGGTAACTGATCGAGAATGATTATGACGTGGAAAGTAGCGGGTTGGCGCGTCTTAAGGAGAGATAAAACACGCTGCTAGATCGGATTACCTTACAACAACAGAGGCCGATTCTAACGGATATCGGAATTCTAGTTGGCAACGTTAGGGTAGGCGCGCATAACTAAGTCAGCGTGCTATTGATAGTCGAGATTCTCTCAACGTGCGCGCGTTACATCGCGTAGAAATATCCCGTCGCTCGTTGGCGCGGCTGACGTCGATAAAAATATCTGAAAGATAATTGAATTTGTAACACTATTCCTTGCATTATGCAGCGGCTATAATTTGATCGTCGCGCACGAGATCGGCTGCGCGATCGCGCAACGTCCAAAACGGTGGAAAAAAAGTGTCTCCGGAGAAATGACTTGATGAATGAGGCAAAATATGAGGAATAATTGAGGAGAGATCATAATAGTGAACGATGTCGGTGCGCTATGAATGGGAATTTTGATATTTTTATGAAAACTGATATAAATCACACCTTTACACTTTTTATTTATTGTATTACTTTTACTATCTATATTTTAACTCATAGTTTAATAACTCTGTTTTTTTTTAACTATTTTGCTTTTCAAAGTTTTACTAATATCTCTTTCAAGATAAGTAGCCTAGTGATTTTATTTCATTCAATTTAAAATGTACTTTGCCAGAAGTAAACAAAATTGTAGCAAAGATATTAAGTATAACTTGACTTAAGAATACACTCATGTTAAAATAAATAAGAATTAGTTGAAATGTTAATTGCTAGTAACAATTTCACCTATATTCTGAGCGACTCGGATTAGCGCCAACATATTATTGATGACATTAATGTCCTTCATTATGCAATATTGATAAATCAACTCCGCATACGGTTCATATGTGCAACGCTAAAGTGATATCTTTCGTCGAGATTATTACTCGCACTGTCAATAACAGTTTTTGAACGAAAATACGTTTAAAAAACATGTCACTCGTTTTGACAGTCGATGATAACAGTTTTACTC